CATGGCCGCTTACCACGCCCCACCACAGAGCATCAGCATAGCTGGAGAAGCCCGTCTTGCCCTCCTCGTCCACAGCATCCTTCTCCGCCAAGTAGACAAAGTAGGATGAGAAGATCAGGCCCAGGAAGCCGATGTATAGCGTGGTGATCAGCTCCTAGCAAAAAAGGTATCCATGACTCAACTCTCAACTCAACTGTATTTATAAAGCACTTTCAAAGAGCCATCACTGCATACAAAGTGCTGTATATGGAGCAACTAACATATACACAACAATAAACACGTAAAATACGTAAAATGACCAGCATCTTCTGACTGACTTTTCACAACGGAATTTGGTTGCACACAAAGGAAATTAGAGCATCAGGAAAAGAGTTATTGCAACAATTTGTGCTAAATAGGGAAGTCTATGAATCCCTTCAATGCATAGAAGATGAGTGGTCATTTAGCTGTGACGCTGCACAACAGAAGTGAAGTCAGCCTTAAGTCTAAATGCTTTGCATTTCAGGTTCAATACTGTGTCCTCCCCTCGAAACATTCTTTTAGTAATTTTAGTCAGCTACTTCTTTGCTATTAAATGTCTTTAACTCTTTTGTTTGTAAATTCTTTTAAATGTTGTGTTGTTTTATTTTGTGAATAATGTTGAGTTACCATGTGTATGAAATGCACATTTTCAAACAAATTAATAGTAATCAAATCTAACACTGAATTAAAAAAAAAAAAACACTAAAATCCCAAATTATTAAAAGCCTCCTACTAACCCGCACTGAGGGGAAAAAAATAAGTATCAACCACTTCTGCTAAGCAGAGCGCATCATTACATAAAAGGATCATTCGACAAAAGGCGGAATGGCGACGATACATCTTTAATCTTAACTTCTCTTGTGGAGCCCTGAAGAGAGATGAACGTCGGGTTTGATCACAGCCATCGTCTATTGGCCCGTGAAAAAGAGAGGCCCAGCTTGACTCTATCGGCTTCGCGCTCTACTTTATCCTTATAAAGCCCGCACTGCTGTGGCTTATGCGCGCACCTCTGTGGATCGGTCGCTGTGTAGTGAAGGCTTAAGCGGTTTGACGGCAAGCGGGCAAAGCACTGCTCAGCAGGCTAAAAGCATGGGAGGACAAACTATGAATAAAATAAAATGAGGGTCATCAAAGACGAGCTTCAAATGGTATCCATTTTGGGATCGTACATTTGTGTTATATTTTAAAGTTGAAACACGTCACTACTTTTTGTTTCAAGTATCACCTAAAAAAAAAAAAAAAAAAAAAAAACAACGAACAATTAATATTACTGAAATACACATCAACATTTTGGGCACTTTGAACACTACACCTAATTATAAGGAAAAAAATATACTTAAATAATGACTCAATTGATATGCATCACATAGGGAAGTTTAAAACAAACTGCGCCCAAATAACTGTTTGGAAAAAATAAAAAGTTCTATAAGAATCAATAACTGGTCAATTATCAAATAATTGACAACTATTTTGATCATTGATAAATGAAAATTACAAAAAAAATGTTTGTCCAATAAATTGTAAGCAATTTAAATGCTTACATTTTTTTTCAAAAATGGTCGACAGATTAATGGCTCATACAAATAATCGGTAGCCCTAAAAAGAAATAAATAAAAAAAAGACTACAATGCAAAACCATTGCACATAAAAGTTAAATATCACTGAACTGTACTTCAACATTTACCCCTTTACTATTTTTTTTCATACTTCTTACATCGACAAATAACTTGGCAGAAACGTCTGACAGACAAACATTGCGTTTGTTGCCTGATTTCTGACGCACCTGCCGATGGATGAACACCACAGATCCCAGCAGCCTCCATGTTCCACCTTGTCGGTCCACGTGGAGCATGCGCAGGATTTGCAGGAAACGGATGCCTCTGAAACACATACACACACGCACACGCACATGCACATGCACACGCACTTCAGCCTTATCGCTCAGCAGCTGGTTGTGGGGAAGATAAGCTCTACCTGATGGCAGATGTGGCAAAAACTTGGCCATTGGAGCCCACAGCGAGTACAATGATGGAGGCGATGACCACAATCAAGTCTGTGACAAGAGAATGATGACATCCTTGTGTTGACAAAAATCTCTATCAGCATTTACGGGTCACATTCATTGTATCCAATCGGCAGAGGTGGTGAAAATACTTGCGCACTGTGCTTACGCTAAGTAGAAGTACAGATACTTGTTAAAAAAAAAACTCCTGAATTTAAGTAAAAGCAAAAAATTAATTGAACAGAATCTGAAGAAATTTTTAAAAACTAAAATAACACAGCCACTTTAATAGTGTAAGGAGCAGAACGTACAGATTATAATAAGAATAAGAAAACCTTTATTCGTCTTACAATGGAGACTCTAGCTAGCTAGCTACATTCTAGTTGCCAGCTAGCTAACTACTCTTTTTTTATTTGAGTTAACGAAAGCAAACAAGATCACTAAAGCTAAAGTTGAAACCAAATGTAATTGACAAAATGAAACTGTCTTTGTCAATGAATATCATACATGCTCCGACTGGCAATGGGAGCAAAAAACAAAAAAAACAAAACAAAAACAAAACGGCCAGGTGCACCTATGATGGATATGGGCTTCCTGATGAAGCGGAGGCGTCCCTTGATGCCGGCGTATTTGCTGCGGCAGCCGGCGGACCACAGCCGCACCACGTACTCGCTGCCGAAGAACAGCACCAGCACGATTTCCTGCGGGACACAAGGCGCGTGATTCCGTGAGCATCAAGATAACGGGACACGGATACAAGACGAAAGGATCTTCGGGGGGATAAGCAACATCAAACATGGGCCGTTGTATCATCCGTCACCGCCATACGGTGGCAGGCAGTGGCAAGTGTGCGCGACGCAGAAATGCAGTGGTGGGACTGCGTATCGGGGGTGGACCACCTAGGAGGAAAGATGGTGGCTTGATAGCTAGCGGTGAAAGCTCAAACTGAGGTAAGCTCAATGGAAGCTACATTTGAACTTTTCATTTTTGGTTGACTTATCTCACCCAAAATGTTGAGTAAAATGAATGCCCCTACAAAACAATCCATGAATCACCCAAAAAGTCTGGTCGGACACTTTTTTTTTTATAGTGCAAGTATAAGGTGGATCTTACGGTCCATTATACTTAATTTGTAAAAGTACAGTATTCCCAGTTGAATCTAGAAACTGGACACCACACCATTGCCACTTTCCTTACAGTTTCACTAGTACAACCAAGGGTACACACACAGTTGTTCTACGATAATTTGAAACATACATTGATACAGATACACTCACACAGGCCACTGAAGAGATTCGTTAAGTGCGAACATAGGCGTGTATAGTTTACTGGCCCTTTAAATGAGGCTTTTTCTCACGTTTCACAAGTCAGGTGACTGGAATTGTTTGTTTTATTAAATGACATTATATATGAGTGGATGAAACTTTGTTTTCAATTTCAGACCTGAGCTCAGGCAGTCTGCTCTGCGAGAAGGACGGCTGCGCCACAGTGGGAGTGGTCACAGCCGACTTCAATCATGGGCAGTGGCAACACCCCCTTTAACTGCGCTAGTCATTCATGTGTCACAGCACATCGGCATCGTGAAGTGGGCACCTAGCGACCGACCCCAATGGTGCAGACACGCTGTCTGCGAAAATAGGGCCCACGGTGTCACGTAAACCTTGTAGGGAAGACAAGAGTTCGACAAGGAGTCATTTGAAGATCACAAAATCAGTTTACATTCAGATCTGTAATTACGCTCCTGCGTTGCTACTTTTTACTCTGGCACACATGCCACCCATGTTCCACTCGGCCGCATGTTTTGAAAATACCTGATGTGTGAATTAATTAAGTCAGCCCGATAGAGATCGTGTCAGTGGCCGCCAAGTATGCATAATATTTAGCCACCATGCTGTGAGTTTGGGTGTGGGGGCCGGGGGGGCCATGTGGGTGGCCGCCGGGTACTTGTGAAAGGGCCACCCCTCACATGAAACTCGATCCTCGGAGCCCTGCTGCAATAACACGGCACAGCGGAGCCCCAAAACAATGACCTGTCAATCATAGCCAGCAATATTTGGACAGGAGCAACGTTTTTTTTTTTTTTGTTTTGTTTTGTTTTTTTAAATCAGCAGATAATGTCGACAGTATAATAATGAAGTGCTGCTATACTACCTCAAGTTTGCATCAAGAAGTAATGGACTATGTTGTGTCAATAAACTGCTGGGTGTAGTTTATGATTAATTGTGATGTGGCCAAATGTCTACCATTAAAAAAACGATCACAATAAAAAGTGCCATAAAATTGTGATGCTAATGACAGTAACGATTCATGATCTATCTAGCCATAGATAGATAGATAGATATTTTTTATGAATTAATGTAAGAGAGCATAGCTACATGTATTTTAATTTTCAAAAACCAAGCATTTCTTTTGTATAGTTTAAAATTGTATTTCTATTGATTTTTGCCTATTTATGTACATTTATGAGAAGTCGTAGTAGTAGTGGAATTGTTGTTGTTGTTATGTGTTACTATTGTTAATTACTGAAAATTACTGAATGAATGAGTGACAATGATGCAATTTACCATCCTTGATATTTGTTATCATATTAACAACTCGTACATAATGATTCTGATATGAAGCAATGCTTTTTTGAAGAAATGATTTGTTTTGTTTAATTTAAAGATTAATTTGAGCAAAAACTTAAAATACTACAGTATGTCCAAAAAAAAAAAAATCTCCTCTATCTCCTTCCCAGTACATTCGATATCACCATCTGGATAATATTTGCGAGTCAAGGGCATACAGTACGCCGCAAATTCGGAAAAAATGTGAGAGGGGATTAAAGTCATAATTCGATAAAATGGGTCACCCAGATGTCGGTCCCATATGCGTATTGGACACGTGGAAGCTATATGATGTTTACCGAAAACAGCACTAATCCACCACAGCCAGATGAAGATCATAGGTGGGGGGGAATACAGATTAGAAGAAAAAGTGATGAGGGAAAGAGATTGAGCCAAATTGGTCTGAAGTGTTCCTAAAAAATAAATAAAATAAATGTTCTTTCTTGTCTTTCAACTTATGATGTGCACCGTTAACACAGCTTTAGAAGATGTGCTACTTCTTCAGACCGTGTGTGTGTGTGTGTGTGTGTGTGTGTGTGTGTGTGTGTGTGTGTGTGTGTGTGTGTGTGTGTGTGTGTGTGTGTGTGTGTGTGTGTGTGTGTGTGTGACTCCTGCCCATGGCTGGCTGAGCTTTACTTTGGCAGCTGCGCCCAAGGCCAAACATCCTCAAGGACCAAATGTACCTCAGCCCCCCCCCTTCGCCCCCCCCCTTCTGTGCCATCCAAAACAAGCAGCCTGTGATTCATGCATGACAGCAGACCCTGAACTTTCTAAGTTTAGCCACCGCTGCCAATCATCACCGCCGTAACACTTGGCCGCGCACCCCCCCCCTCCCTATCTTCAACACACACGGTAAATAAGTCATTTATCTTATCAGCATTTTATATTGCGACATGATCATAGTGGGGGGGGGGGGGTAACAGTCAGGGCATGTTTTGACGACTTGGAAAACAAGTGCAAGAAATGCGAAAAGGACTAGTTCGGAAATTAATGAGCCGACGCGCATAGTGGATCATTCCACCAAAAAAAAAAAAAAAAAAAAGTCTCATGGCACAGCCCCACCAAAAATGCCCCAAGTCGATATACGAACGAAAATGATCTCGTTTTAATTTACAATCACATTTATTTCCTGTGAATGACGTTTCCAAATGCACAGGTTAGTTATGTAGCGCCTGCCATCGAGCTCTGCCTGTCACTATATGTTGCTAGCATAGGTAGACAAACACGCCTACCGATAATCGGGCCGACTGGAAACATTTTTCAGTAAATGCCCTATTATTGGATGTCTCTAAATAATGATTCCTCTTTACTGTGCATGTTCGCAAATGTCCAACAATTGTAAAAACTAAACTTGTAGACGATACATCTAGTTAATTGTTGTTTCTTTAAAATCTGGATGCAGGTGATTTTTAATGCAAACATTTGACAAAATAAAATTGAGCAAATTCAACCGATCGTTATTGTCAGTGTAACAAATAACCTATCGCCCTCGAGATCCTCTTCTCGGGTATAAATGAATGAGTAACCACGATAGAAGGTCCTCAAAGGGCACTGGCCAAAAGTTGACAGAACATCGCGTTCACTCCTGTCCTCTGGCTGGCCCCGTCAACTCGGGAGGTGGTACATAAACCTGTGGGTGGGTGTGTGTGTGTGTGTGTGTGTGTGTGTGTGTGTGTGTGTGTGTGTGTGTGTGTGTGTGTGTGTGGGAGGGCGCAGGAGCTACGTGTGTATTTACACTTTATATTCCCGGTGTGCTGGCCAAAAAAAAAGAAAAAAAAGAGGGATGATGCAAGCTCTTTGAAGAGTTTCCAAAGCAGTAGCCATCACGTCCTCCACCTGTTGCAAGATCCCGATTTATTGCATCATTAAACACCCTTAATGGCCCCCCTGATAGGCTTTTTTTAACGTCATTTTTACCAATTTGCACCACTGCTAGCAGTCTTAGTGGAGCCATGTCACTCTGTGCTCACACCCCCCCGCCCCAGGCCCCTCCCTTTACATTCTAACACCTATGCTTCAGGGACAATATAGAGCCCGAGTTTGGCCATTACGCAACACGGTAATAAGAGGCCATTGTTTGTTCTTCAGGTATCATACTGGGAGACACGCAGCACCCACCACCACTTCAGATCCTCTACTGCCACCGAGTGGCTGTGGAGGAGTACTACATGTCACATTCACAATCACTTCCTGCTTCAGTTATGAAGCCGTTTGCCTCCAAGATTTGTATGTGGAGATGATGTGTCTCTTTTCTAAAGCGCTTTTCCTCAGTTGGGAGCCTCCGCCCTTTCACATTTATGCACAATTTCGACAGAAAAATGGCATCCGGCAATCAGACGAAGACACATTATTCTCTGCGCTCGACTGAGTGCAAGTCAGCGCTCCTCAATAGAGATGAGGGGAGGCGCTTTTTTTTTTTTTTTCAAGTGTTTCGATAAGCACATTGTTCAGTTTTACTCACCATCCAGAACAAAGATCCGGAAGCAAAGTCTGCATATTGCTCGATTGTGGACAGGACACTGAAGATGAGACACACCAGAACCATGACGAAGCTGTGGGTAGGAACACAGCACGAGGTTAGGACAAGTGGTCAAACACAATCCAAATAAATAATGCACCGAGAAAAAAAAATGTCCACTGCATGCTTGGTCCTTTGGGTTCTCAGACCAACTGTAAACCCAGTGTAAAATCAATGAGGTGGTCTTCTCAATGTGTTTTTTTTTTCTTCTCAATTTTGGAGCACAGTCGAGTCACACAATGTTATCAAATCTCCACTTTCAGCCTAAAAATATCAGGGAAAGTAGACCAATGTAGATGGTTAATTTAACATTCCAATTTATGTATTTATTTCTTTTAACAAACCCCTACACTTCTTCAGAAAATGCTGATAAACATTTATTTTATGTTCCAGACAGAGGACATGGGGAAATGTGGAAAACAATTATGTGGCCTGATGACACTTGTGGGTTCCAAACATATTCTGGAAGGTTGGGGAGGGGGGCGGGGGGACCCCTCGCTCTGCCACTGACCATGAGGTGAATTTGGTAGGGGTGGGAGGGCGTGAGAGGGGTGTCGGTTGGCCTTGCAGCTTTGGCCAGGTCTCTTTTCCAAACCCTCGCGGGATTAAGAGCAGAGTCAGTTGTGTGTTTTAACGATCCCAGAAATAATCCTTTGGACACATCTTTGGAGTGCTTTGACATGACACGGCAGCAATGTTTGCATGCAGCACCATCGTCATCGGGCTCGCTTTAAAACACACACACACACACACACACACACGCACACACACACACACACACACAGCAGAGGGCGCTTCGTGTTTTTGTGTGCTTCAAGCTGGATTACACGCCATATGCTGAAAACGGGGTTATGTAAATGTCTGTTGTTTATCATCATTCATGTTTAAGCGCATCGAGTAAACACAATTGTAGCAAGGTTGCTGCCGTTTAAATCAGCGGTCCCCCAAAGTAGCAGCTCGTTAAAGAGAGCAGGGCTCCCAATTAAATGCAGCAACGACATTCAGTGTCTGCAGTTCACTTTTTAATTTGGTTTAAGGTTTCTTTTTTTTTTGGAGAAAATTATCCAAATGTCTCCATTGTGAGACAAATAAAGGTTTTCTTATCTTTTTTTTTTTTTTTGGTGAAGCGAAAAACTCTGACCGGGCTGACCGTTTCGGCTGTCACTTCAGCCTTCATAGGAGCTGTCTATATAATGGTCTGGGGAAAGAAAAAAAAATCAAACCTTAAACCAATGTACCATAAGTAGACAAGATGAATGTCACAGCGCCAGTTAACTTTTTTTGTTTTTCCTTGTTGTGGGTAGGAGCAGGCAGAGGGACCCGTCTCCAGTCAAGTCATGTGACTTAAGACTCAAATCGCCAATTTTTGAGGACTTGGCACTTGCCGGGCTGAAATTTCAACTTGATATTTACGAGACTTCACTTGACTCAGACTCGAACGACATGACTTCTGCATTCTCAAGTGTTTGTTGGGTTTTTTTTTCTTTTTTGTTATTTCTTTTGAAAAATGGCGCCTGTTTCCTTCGGTGTCGGTGGATGCGGTCCTGAAGCCGCCCTCGGTAGAGAGCGAGCCACGGCGTGAAAAGCGCCAAGCGAGGTGACGGGAGGGAACGACTCCTGACGTAAAAGTCGCTGACACATCGGGCAGATGGGACTTTGATTTCCCGGGCTGAGGATTACTTGACCCCCTCACACACACGCGCGCGCATGCACACACACACACACACACACACACACACACACACACACACACACACACACACACACACACACACACACACACACACACAGATGCCACGCTCCCCTCCCCGCACACACGTGAGTCCGTCAAATGAAAAGCCCAAATACGAGAATTGGCGGTTCTCGACGGACGAGGTCACAAGTGAGGTCTTAAAATGAGAAGTGGCACGGGCAGCCCTCGGTCCCGTCACGCCGCTCCCAGGATATGCCCCTCGTGTCCTCAGCATTTGGAGGACGTAGATGAAGAGATGAAGAAGAACACGTAAGGCCTAGTGGAGATACAAATACTAATACAGATGGCTACCTCTGCGTGATTAACGACATGAAGTGAGTAAAAACGCAATACAAGGCCGCTTCTTGAGAATACCACACGTTTCGAAATAAAGCTGTGACAGGATGACTGCGGTGATACTTTTATCACACCATCACAAGTTACAAAATAAGGTCAGGAAGAAATGTCAGCCATAGGATGATTTTGACACAAAAATGCTCGTAGCTTGGCTGGCTATAAATCACCACTTTGGGTCCAATCGTGTTTTCGTTGAGTGAGTCGGCATTTGCCAAAGTGTACTGCAGCGTTAGCGAGGGGATTTTTAATTTTTTACTCTGCCGCAGACAGACGCACAGGACAGGACAGGACAAAACAGAACAGGACAGGGTCACTCCAAAGCCGTTAGCCAACCTTGCTCTGACGGACTGTGCCAAAAACCCTCCGAGATCTGATTAAAAACAAAACAGCTGGGGGGGCTTTAGCGAGAATTATTGACAATAATATTCAAAGTCGCAGCATGCAGCTTCATTCAAAAACCTGGTTTAAAACTCCCAAATGCTTATGTGAAGACCACGTGGAAGGAAGACATATATTTGGGGAGCGAGAGAGACAGGCACGCATTTATGATAAGCCTATTAACCCTTTCACGCACCCTGTAACCCTGATAACATGATAAGCTGTCCACTGTAGTGACCGCTGAGAAAATGGACTGATTTTAGATGCGCCTTATCGTGCGGAAAATACGGTAACCGCTCCTTCATGGCCATTCATCTCCAAATCTCTGTCAGCTATACGCTCACGCCTTTACAATGTATGTGTCATTTTGTTGTCCCGTGAAAAGATATGCATGAAGAAAATATTCAAATGAAAAACTGTTCGGGGATGTACTCTCTCAGATGCTGCATAGACAATATGTTCGGACATAACGGTGTGGTCAACAGTTATCGATGGCCTAAAAAGCCCGGAACAAAAAATGGAGAGCCGTCTATCGTGGAACGCAACGAGCGTGACAGTGCTCACAAATTGCCCTGGCCATGACTGTTAAGCAAGCATGTCGGAGACAGAGCAGTACTCTTTGACCCACACCACCACCACCCCACCGCCGGCTCAGCCCTCGCCCATCCCATCCGTGGGAGGAGCTTAAGGATGGATTACAGCACATCAGCCTGTGGCCAGAAGCACGGATATTGCATCCTGGCTTAGCCATCATCTTGTCCGCCTAATAGTCGGGAAATAAATGGAAATCTTCTTACAGGTCGGAGTGGACAAGCGGAGCGAAGTTCAGGTCAAGTGTGGATGCTAATATCGGAACCCAGGTGCACACCAAACGAGTGGGACCGAGGTTACAAGTCAAATGTGAATATCTGAACACCGGTATAAAAATGCCAGCGTTTAATATTTAGTTTCACCATGACAAAATGAAAACAAAAAAAGTGCATTCACATTGATTAGCAAAATCATTTCCCCATCCATCCATTTTCATATCCGCTTACCCTCACAAGGGTCGCGGGGGTGCTACCTTCGGGCAGTAGGCGGGGGACACCCTGAACCGGTTGCCAGCCAATCGCAGGGGACACACAGACAAACAACCATCCATGCTCACACTCACACCAAGGGACAATTTCTTGAGTGTTCAATCAGCCTGCCATGCATGTTTTTGGAATGCGGGAGGAAACTGGATTACCCGAAGAAAACCCACACAGGCACGGGGAGAACACGCAAACTCCACAATGCCGAGAAAATCCTGATCGACTCTCTGACTGTTGGAAGAGGGAGAAATCTAAAACGGGCTGGATAGGGGCTCTTGAGGACCAGATTTGAGGTCTAGGTCCTCACTGACACTCGGGAACGCCAGCCCAGTCTAAGTCAGACCACACCTCGATCAAGAACCTGACCAGAAATAAAGTACAGCTCTTCAAGGCACTCTGTCAATCACCGCGATAGTTCAGATGGTCCGACACGACAGTCTGGACTTTCTGGTCTTTTAGTGAAGCCGAAACAACCTCTGTAGAACAAACATTACTCACGTTATTTATCTAAACTGAAAACTAGGTATATCACGGTGATTTTCGGCGTAGCGGTTGACCCCCTACCGTGTTACGGTGAATACGTAAGAGCAACGTCAAAACACATCCCGCAACCCGCTATGGGAGTGACCCCCCGCGCTGACGGTAATCTCTGATAAGCAGATATCCAATATAAGGGTTTAGTTCCGCATACGTGCGTACGTACATAGGAGCCGGCAGACTGATTTCAGTAATCTGCCGAGTTATAAATATACAAAGCAACACCAAGTACTGCAGACAACATCTGGACGTCTGCGTGCTCGCCAGGATGGACAGGTGCGAGCGCTACCGGTTGGCCTTTGATGGCGTCGTTGTCTATCACCGACCGTTGCGATTGTGAAAATTCAAACGTTTGGCGCCGCAAAAGGAGTTCAGCATGGCTTAAATTGGGTCTCAAATATCGCTGTTCCCGTCTCACAACGGTCTTGCAGAATACGGAAAAGAGAGCGGTGGACGAGGCGTCCGAGGGAGTTCAAGAGGTCGGATGACGCTTTCACTTGCGAGGGCATTTAGGAATCACAACTGCACAGTTTGTTCCGTCCGGTTATGTAAAAGACTCAAAAGGGAGTGTCCAAATGTGATTCCCCGCCCCCACCCCACCCCCTGGTTGTCGAAACGCACGCAATCTGCTCAAATTTGGACACGATGTAGACAAGATTAAGATGGACGGTAACTAAAATACGGGAAACGATGTGATGCGGTTCTGATTGGAAAAGGGGTGGGAATATTTTTGCGGGTCACTTCAATCAAATTGAAGATGAAAACTCATTCAATGCCAAGCAAGTTTTTTTTCAGAATCCAGGCATTCAATCCGGGTATGTGTTTGTTTGTTTTTTTTTAATTCCCACGATAAGGTAAAGAAGGGTCTGAAAATCAAATCGCCGGCGCTGAATGATGAACATTCGCAAAATATGAACGTAAAAGGACCAATTTTCATTCCAATGTTTTCTTTCATCAGAACGTGAATGCACCCTTTGATGCACCCTGTCACCTGATCACATGATCGATCAGCTGTCCGCTGTAGTGACCGCTGTCCCAAAAAGGGACCGAATATTGGAATGAAAGACAGCTTCTGAATTGAATGTGCCACGTTATTCTGTTCGTTTCGAAAGAAAACGTTGACTGTGGATTATGAAAATGGATGCATGGACTGAAGGATTAAGCATCGTTTTTAAGCACACTTAAAGCCTTAATCTTGGGGACATCCAAAGATCTGCAGGCCGTGTATTTTCTGTTGTGGCTTTTTTTTTTTTTTTGCCCCCTTCGACCGAATTTGGCTATTATGTTTAAAATGAGTCAACCTCAATTGTTGGGATTCCATTTTGAACTGTGCACCCTCACCCCCACCCCAACACCATCCTTGCGAAGGTCACGATGAAGCAGCAAACGGTCAGTGGGCCTATTCTCGGTTCAATGTACATGTGGAGCGAGAGCAGCACTAATCCGCCCCCATCTTGTTAAAATGAGACACGAGCAGCCAGGTCGCCATCATGCGATGTGCAAACCCAACGCTGGCCGGAATGAAAGCATGAACCCCCACAGACACAATGTGGAAACAAAACAAAAAAAACATTTGCCGAATTCATGCCTTGACTTTTTTTTTTGTTTGTTTTCCCTCTCCACAGCGAGACTGGATTTGATTGAAGCACATCTTACTGGACAAAATTTAGCACGCACACTCTCCATCTTTCGCGCGTGAGGCCGCCCGTTTGTTGACAGCGGGCCGGAGGTTCTGTATATGGCGAACCAGATCTCACTGACCTGCTTCTAGTTGGCTCTTTCAAAACAAGCACACCAGACACACTCACACAAGCCACCTTTTTCTGTTTTGGGGAGGCAGAATCTAATACTGTACTTGATGTAATTAACAAGAGAGGGACTGCAGATGACAACCACTGGTCAGGCATTTGTACATACAGACCAGCCACCACACTTGATCCACCTGAACAGTCCAAAACCGTAACCCAGAACCCTAAACCGAAGCCTAAAATTTAATTGACAGCTTCTTTTTAAATATATAAACCTACTGTAGTGCGGCCCGTGGAGGACATTTTAAAAACTTAATTGGCCTGTGGGCCACTTTTGAGCAAAGAATTCCATACAATGTGTGGATTTCCCTTTGCAGTCCCCAAAGAATGAGAGTCAACTAAAGTACACGGAAAAAAAAAAAGCTTGATGTACAGATGTACTTGAAAGCGCTACTTACACAAGGAAGTGGTAGAGGAAACATTTCAGTCCAGCGGGTCTCTCGAGGAAGTTGTAAACATCGCCCTGCATGCTCGTCTTGACGTACGGCCGCTGGAACTCCTTTTGGTGGCGATGCAGCCAGCTGGAACGCGGAAGAGGCGGCGGGAGTGGCGCCGAGGCGACGTTGAGCTGGCCGCGCAGCGCCGTATCCTTCGCCATCGGGCAGTGGGGGACACCTGATCCATTATTGACCGCCGCTGAGTCCAGTTGCAGTGAAACGGGAGCATAGAGGCCCATGTCGGGCATGGGGGCCTCGCTCTTGCCAACCACGGGTGGAGAATTGTCAGCATCCATCTCCTGGTCCAGGCTGAGGCTGGTGCCGGCGTAGCCGTTGGGGCCGCTTCGGGCGAAGGGGCCCACCAACCTGTTGCCGTAGTCCCGCTGTAGGCGGCACGTCATATGGAAGGAGCGTGCCCGTCTCTCCCCCATGTTGGTTCCAAACTTCAGAGGTGGAGCTGATGGAGGGTCCACAAGGGGCATGGAGCACTTGGGGGAGGTCATGAAGACGATCGTCGCGGGTTTCCTGTGGCGGATGAGCAATCACTTGGCGGGCTGCCGGCATGTGCGTCCATACCTGGGGTGGAACAGGTGATGTGAGATGTGGAGATAATGTGACTGAAAGGAAGCGCTTCCCTCGATTGTAAGGAGGACGCTGTAAAAATCTGCACATAACAGACACACATTGACAGGAAAAAAACGTGCAAAAAATTATTTTATTAACTTATCGTATATTGCTTGTGCTGACGATAAATAAAACAAGATAAATTCTAACGCTAATGATAGCGGACAACAGATTTTTAAAAAAAACACGATTTTTTTGCTAGTGGTTTTTAGGTTAGCACAAAATAATTAAAATAAAAATATTTACTGTTGCCAAAAAAAAAATCATATACAAAAAAAAAAAGCACGTCTTTAAAAAAGGCCACTAATGTGGAAAATCTTGTTTCTCCAAATCACGTGCATCATTGTGAATACATAGTGTCAAAATGCACACAGGATGGAAAATCGAGGTCATTTTCACAAAGTAAGGATTGGAAAGTACAGTCTGCACGCCCCCATTAGGTTAAAAATATATTTTTTAAGTGGTTACGAAAAGATACACTTACGGGAAGTAGACACAAAAAATGTGCTCATGGTGTATGTACGCTGTCCATTGGGTGAATACCTTCAAACGTGTACGGCGTCAATCTATCATTCGCCGTGGCACAAGTTCGACTTGTAAAATCAAATTCAGGTGAAAAGTAAATCCAAATATGATTCACCGAGTTTTATGTAGAATAAAGTAAATAATCACGCAACATCTGCGCTCACAAAAAATAAAAAAGGAAAATAAACATAAACTGTAAAATCAAATTCAGGTGAAAAGTAAATCCAAATGTGATTCACCGAGTTTTATGTAGAATAAAATAAATAATCACCCAACATCTGCGCTCACAAAAGATAAAAAAATAAATAAAAAGGGAAAATAAACATAACGCACGAGCGTTTCGGTCGGTGTCCGTTTGCGGGACTTTGAAGTGCATCAATGACAGCAAGAGCCTGTGCGTTATGCTGAGTTCAAGGCTACTCGGGAATTTTCAGTTTCAGTGATATCCTCCACGTTTGTTCTTTTTTTTTTTTTTTGTTCTTTTTTTGTCGTAACTTGTCACTTGTATGTATATCAAACTTGACTTATTTACAGGGTAAACTCGGATACGTTGGTGTGCGGAGGACATTAAAGATTTTAGCTTTTGGTACTCCCGCGAAAGGTCAATTTACGATAGTGGGAACGTCTCACAATTTTGCCAGACCGGCCTCACTAAAACAATGCCTTTTCCAAATGCACTGGCTTCGCATTTTTCGCGTATATAATGCTCCCATTTAATTAGGGTATTCGCTCGGAGAGACATTATGATGAAATGAGGACACAGCAAATATGTTATACTTACACATTCGCCATTTGGCAACAGAGTGGTTTGTCGGCATCCGTAGTGACTGAAGAAACATGGCTGCTCACACGAGCAAGACGATGCTGCTGTCCTTAAGTCGATTAAACGTCGTGGGCGTTGGACTACCGAATTTGTCGAGCAGACTGACATACGCCACGGCATTCTCGACAAACACGGCTGGAAATAAAAGCGAGTATTGCATATGCCTTTGCTGTCGTTCACGCTCATAGCTTCGTGCTAAGCTATAGTATTGCACTATAGCGAGGTCACGTCAAATATAATACACGTCTAATTCTTTTTTTATATTATTCAGGCGACATTCTTTTTCGATTTGGTGGCTTGTAAATTAAATAGAGAACACGTGCATTATTAACGTGTTTCGAATATGTGGTCAGACGTCTTCCTTGGCACACATTGATTACGTCACGAACGAGACACTGTTCACATCTGTAGTTTGCACACGTTGTGATCATTATTTTGTAATTGCCCCAACATCATTCATTTCAGCTCTTCCTGAGCGAGGCGGGAGAGGAACTTTCACCAAAAGGCCCAGAAGAGATGTACGTTTAGATACGATTGAAAGAAGCCCCTTGTGAGGGCAGAGAATGAAGATTGTTAATTTGTTCTGTTTGTGTTCGGGTCGGGCTCTCAGGCAGGACCACCAAGGACGGACAAGATGGCAGAGGACCAGGACTGGACGGCTGTCTACCCGGCAGCGGCCCCCTTCAGAGCTGGCACTGTGCCCCTCCCTGTGCGGATGGGCTACCCTGTGAAAGGAGGGGTCCCTCCAGAGAAGAAGGGCAACCTGGAACTGATCAAGGTTAGATGCTGTATTGATCATTTCTGGGGAACAGCATAAGATGTTCATGTTTAAAATCTGGCGACGCCTTGCATCTAGCATGTACACAATCATGAACCGATGTGACATAAACGACTTTAGTCAGTACTCACCGTCAATTATTCAATGCAAACCACCTTTACATGGGGCTCAAAAAAAGACCTTATCTGTTTAATTTTTTTTTTTAATATTATGACTCATAATTGGGCATGCTCACTTTGCCATGTTGTTGTTCCTCATTTAACAGATTCCCAACTTTCTCCACTTGACGCCAGTAGCCATCAGGAAACACTGTGAAGCTCTCAAACGTATGCATGATGACTTTTTTTTTTTTTTTTAACTTATTGTAAATGTCAGCGTTAATGATGACTACAAGTGTTGGCCGTGCGTGGCTAGCGTTTTGCAGCGCGTGGCCATCCGCGTTGGACACAGACGCCAAGTGCGAGCGGCACTTCCCCATCCGGGTGGAGAGCCGCGACTACGTGTCGGCTGGCCTGTCCTTACGAAACCCCGCCGCTCGCGTTGTTCATCTACGTGTGAGTTTGACTCCCTTTTTTTTTTTCTCTATTTTTTTTCCTTCTTCCTTTTCATCCGGGTGTTTTTTTGTTTGCTTGTTTTTTTGCTGGCGTGCAGGTGAAGGTGTCCAGTTTGAACCTGGATGACCACGCCCGGAAGAAAATGCTCAAACTGGTCGGGGAGAGGTACTGCAAAGACACGGACGTCCTCACCATCACTACCGACAGGTGAACACTCGCACACTCCTCCTGGTGACTCTCCCCAACACAAAACTCACTTTTTCTTTGCGTCCCTCAGCTGCCCACTGAGACAGCAGAATTACGACTACGCCATGTATCTGCTGACCGTCCTTTACCACGAATCTTGGGTGAGTGCAAATACAGTCAAACATTTGAAAAAGCGTCTGCTGACCTTTAGCTCAAACAATGACCGGCACAGTTCTTGTGCAAGTGTTGAGATGTTTTTTTTTTTTTTTGGTAACGCTAGCCCTCAAAGAGTGGGCTTGTTAGCCACCACAATCAAGGTGACTGTATATGTCCACTTGAGCCAATGAGGCTGAAAAATCCGGCGGCCAGCCTTTCCTGAACTTGCCGGTACAAAACAAGATGAAATAAAGAACAATTGAAATCATATATGTTGCACATAAAAGTTGAAAAAAAAAATTGCGCCGAAATAGTTTAAGAGTAAAATACAAATGTATGTCAAATTAAAGTGACCGTAAATGCAACGGAACTCTACTGCAACAGAACCATGAGTATGTGAGGGCCCACTATGAAAGTATTTTTATTTTAATTAATTTAATAACATGTTACCGTTTTCTACTGATTCAAATCTACTTTTTTTTTGAATGTGTTTTTTCAGATTATTCAAATCTATTTTTTTGAAAATACAAATCGACGTAACATTTTTTAATAGTTTTACATGGTTGTGATGCATTTTAATATTTTGTAATATTTGTACAGTTTTGTGCCTTTTCAATTGACTATTATTTATCCATTTTATTGAATGCATTTCTTTGCATTTATTTTGTATCTCATTTATATTTGTTATATAATTGTACACATTTATGACGAGCATTTTGGTCACCATATATATATATATATATATGTGTGTGTGTGTGTGTGTGTGTGTGTGTGTGTGTGTGTGTGTGTGTGTAGTGACATGAAGTCTAATAGCAGCTAATCCCATTTTGCTTTCTTCAGAAAAGCGAGGCGTGGGAGGCCGAGAAGACGGTAGCAGACATGGAGGAGTATTTGTGGGACGGCAGCCCGTCCGAGAAGAACATCTTGGACACGCTGTCGCGCAAGGCGGACGGCGGCGAGGAAGAACGCCGGCGTCTGCTGGGAAGAAACGAAGTGCAAGACTACAAGCGCTCGGTTAGCAGACTGAAGAACCAGGGGGACAGCGAGAGCGCCATGTTGCAGTACAAAGAGGCCGTCAAGAGAGTGCTCAAGATCTGACGCATCGAGAAAATCGATGAGTGTATTGCTCTACAACTTTGTTGCAACATCATAAATACAGTCTGGTGTACTCATGTACTTTTTTTTTTTTTTGTGTGTGTGCTTTTACCAAAATAAAAACATGAAACTGGCAGCAATTATCTTGGATTTGTGAAATTTTTGGGGTGAGAATATTACGCTATTGTAATATGACCTTTCCACTCATAAAAATACAACAGACCTACACAAAAAAAAAAGTCTCCCCTATAAGGGGAACCCAAAGGAAAAAATGGTCCAAAGCAGTAAAATTCAAGATCGGAATCCGCTTTAAAACTTTTCAGTCAGTTGTCGCCCTCTGTGACCAGGTCGTACTTGATCAGACGCGTGGTCTCTCTTCTCCTGGACGTACGGCGGCATTCCATCCTTCTCCTGCTGCTCCTCCTCTTTGCCCTCCACCTTGAAACCAGCCAGACTAAACAGCCCAGCAATACGGCCACGCAGGCGACCAGCACCACCGGCAGGCCCTGATACCCGGGTCCCGAATCCACCAAGGTGTCCTCTCCGCCAAGAGTTGAACCTCGCGCTTGAATTGACGTCTGGGTGCTCGGTTCATTGGTGTCTGGATCGTTTGACGACGATTGGGTGCTCGGAGGATTGTTTGTGTCTTGTTCTTTAAAGGACGTTTGGTTATCCGGGTCTTGAAATGACGTCTGGGTGCTGGGCTCGTTGGTGTCTTGCCCTTGAAATGACCTCTGGGAGCTTGGTTGACTCGTTTCTTCAACCGACCTCCAGGTGCTTGAATCGTTGGTGTCTGGCTCGTTGGACGACGATTGGGTGCTCGGATTGTTTGTGTCTTGCTCTTGAAAGGACGATTGGCTGTCTCGGTCTTGAAACGACGCCTGGGTGCTGGGCTCGTTGGTGTCTCGCCCTTGAAATGACCTCTGGGTGCTTGCTTTGATAGTTTCATCAACCGACGTCCAGGTGCTTGAATCGTTGGTGTCTTGTCCTTGAAATGACCTCTGGGAGCTTGGTTGACTCGTTTCTTCAACCGACGTCCAGGTGCTTGAATCATTGGTGTCTTGCCCTTGAAATGACCTCTGGAAGCTTGGTTGACTCGTTTCTTCAACCGACGTCCAGGTTCTTGAACCGTCGGTGCCTCGACCTTTAACAGTCGTTTGGGTCCTCGGATCGTTCGTGCCTCGCTCTGTAAAGGACGGCGGGGTGCTTCGATGGCGGGATTCTCGCTCTTTAGCCAATATTTGGGCGGTTGGATCATTGGTGTCTTGCTCTCTAAACCATGTTTGGGTGCTCAGATCATTCGCACCTCTCTCTGTAGTGGACGTTTGCGTGCTCGGATCATTGGTTCCCCCCTCTTTAACCAGCGTTTGGGTGCTTGAATCGTTGGTGTCTCGCCCTCGAACAGACGCTAGGGTGCTTGAATCGTTGGTGCTTCGATAATTAGGGTCTCGCTCTTCCATCCACGCTCGACTGCTGGGGTAGTCTTGTTTTTTAACCGACGTTTGGGCACTCCGATCATTGGTGTCGACGGTGCCTGCGGACGTGGAGGAGGTCAGGGGACGAGTGGTGGCGGTCGTGGGGAGGAAAGTAGGAGCTGGCGGGGCGTGGTAAGGAACCAAGGTGGTGGATGAAGGAGGTATGCTCGTCTGGAATGTGCTGACGGATGACCGAAGAGGTTTTGGGGTGACTGTTGAGGATCTGCCAGTGGTTTTCCGGGTGCTGGAGGCTGTTGGTTTGATGGTGGCAACAGGCGGCGGCGGATGGAAGAACTGTCGCTTGTCCAAGGGAAGCAGCTCAGAGGCGTTGACGCGACCCACGCGGATGTTGGAGGCCAGGTGTTTGCCAAACACCAACAGGTCCGGATCCACACCTGAACAAGTCATTCGCCACTTTGAAGTCTTCACACTCACTCAATCAATGCCAGATTCCAGTCCGACATCTTTGATAGACTGTCAAGACATTCGAGATAATGGACTCCTGGTTGACAATTCCCCATTATGTTGTGCAATTAAAAAAAAAAATGCACCTTCAAATTTCATACAGCTCCAGATTTCACGAAACAATAAAAATATATACTGAATCTCCAAATTCTGCACATCACTGTCGAATAAAAATATGCTTCCACACTCCACATATTATTGCTGAATAATGAAAAGCATTTATTTACATTAATGGGATGCGAGCATCCCACACATAATTATCATCCAATAAAAAGTATACGTCATCGCTTCCCAATTTAAAAAAGAATGTGTCTCTCTAAATTATTTACAACATAGCAGCCAAATAAATAAATAAAAAACACACCGTTTAATTACTGCACATATTAGAGTTTTTATTCCACTTTTAGTCGACCTTCTTTGCAATTGCGAGATATTTTGCATGCAGACTGAACTTCGATCAAATGTTCTGAAGACGTATACTTACCTTTGGTGACGTTGTAGAGGACAGCCTCGGTGCTGCGGCTGATGATGCAGCTCTCCAAAGTCGGACAGTGGAGGTGGCAACAGTTGTCATGCGCGGCGTCCAAGTGAAACACCGCCACGTTGCACGAGGAGGCTCAAAGAAAGACACAAGCTTGGTTCACCGAGCATCAAACAGCACTTGAACGCTGCACGGCCGATGACCAACTCACCATTCGACGTCAGGCAACAAGTGCGGCCGCATCTCAGCGCGCTCTCCTCCCGGTAAGTCCTCAGCAGCCGCGCCCCTTGCCTCTCGGACTCCTCCAAGTCCACGACGATTCCCGTGAAACTCCGAATCCAGCAGTTTTTGTAGTAAGAAGTGGGCGAGCAGCGCGACTCGGCGCGCCGCGCCAAGAGCAAAAGCGTCAGCAAGGCGCGTGAGACGTTCATGGTGCTGCCCGCGTAATTGGAAATCAGACCATCGTAAGTGGGGGAATACTTATACACGCGCGCGCGCGCACGCACACACACACACACACACACACACACACACACACACACACACACACACACGCACACACACACACACACACACACACACTTTCAAGTGAGTAATTGATACGCACTTGGAGGAAGAGACGCCCAGCCAAGGGTAAAAACTACCAACTTCTGCCTTTTGAAGAGGAACAAAATACTCTAACTCCTAAAGAAGGGAAATCTATCACGTGGCCTGGGGTCCAATTTCAATCACTTTCAATTTTTTTTAATCAGAGATGCAAGTCAACTTTAGATTATCAGATTTTTATATATATTTTTTGCGCTGATTCTGAATCTGCCCTTGTTTTCCCCCCCTCTAATTTTTGTCATATTAATGCAATAAAATGTAATGTAGGTTTCGGTTCAGCAACAGGTGGACTTTTTTTTTCCCTGAAACGTCATAACTATAAATTAAAACCCGTACTGCACAAGATTTTATCGGTCAAACTGAAAAACAAAAAAAAATTAAATAATTCAAAAACCTGATGTGACAGGAAAGAAAGTAAAGACATTTTTGAAATCATCCCCAAATGCATTTTGGGACACACGAAGGCATCTCTGATTAAAATTTGCTCTTGATCAGTGTTCCAGCCATTCAATAAATGCATACCCTAAAAACATGATTGATGTCTATTTACCTAAAAACTAGTCTGGAATATGCGACATAATAATGAAAAATACAATAACATCAAATAACCTGATGCCGCCATGGATTTGTGTGATGCAAAAAAAAAAAAAAAAACATTAAAATCAAATAGATCGAAAAGAATAACTCGCTGTTGCCACTGATTTGGTTGCAAAATTGAAAAAAAAAACAGATAAATATAAAAAAAGCACATTCATGGAACATGAAAACAAAGAAAAATGCACGCCTAGTCATTTTTGTAAGAAACACTTATATTTTCATCGGACACTTCAGGGCAAGGAGACAGTCGACCTCTGCAATCCACATACAGATCCAACTGTGCTGTGCTTCAAGGTAGCCGTGTTATCACTTTTACTATTATTATCGTCATTATGTGCCTTTTTTTTTGTTGTTATTGTTGTTGGGAGTCTTAAGACAACACGGGAGACATTCAAACAGCAAACACACGAACACAAAAGGACCGCCACTGATCACGTCTTCAGCATCCCTCGTCCCGTCGTACGCGTGGCAGGTTTACAAGGTCATTATTCAAAGAGCACACACGTGATTGGCACTGCGACAAAAACAAAAAAAAAAACAATATAATAAAACAGGTTGTGCAATTTTCTGCCTTACACTTTCAGTTAGGTGTGTGCCATTCTTCTTTCAGTCAGTAGGTGGCACCCTGAGTCAGCCAAACTCCTGCACATGCATGACAATCTAAGCAAAAACAAGCTCTAGCAGAATCATATTTAAAAAAAAAAAAAGAAGAAGAAAACACCAACGACAATGCTCTCATGCAGGTCTTTTCCGAGGCCAGGCTTTGGTATGAAGACCCGAGTGCATTATGGTCCTTTCCTGTCACTATCAACGCACCGAGCCTGGTTCCCCGTTCTTCACAATCCTCAGTAGTGTCGTTCGTTCGTCCCTGGGAAACGTTCGGGACCCCTCGAGCCCGAAGCTCGCCGAGGAGTGCGCGCGCGCGTCTTTGTGCGGAGGTGCGGCGACGTTGCCGCGTTGGTGTCAGTCTTTGACGAGCCTGTAGATGTGATGCTGGGCGCCGTGCTCGCTCGTGGACACTTCAAAGACGTAAGCGACGCACAGCAGCGTCTCCAGGGTGTCCCTGTTGGACACCACCTGGGCGGGACAGCAACAAGAAGTGTGTCACGCGTGTGTCATCCTCTGAGTCAAGGTACTAAACGTGAAACTAATAAATAAGAATACTAATAACTCCGATGGCCAAATGTTACCATATAATGGGAAACGCCACGGGCGGGCTAACGAGTAGCACAGGTGTCACGTCAATGGAACCCTTTAAGCAATGCATATTTGAACACAGACGGTGGAGCGACGCATGTTGATGGAAAATATGACAATACTCACAGGCATCTATTCTTTATCCTCTGAAAAGAGCGACTAATATGACTGCCGCGCTGAGAGTTGCAGTGGAGCTAAAAGGAGGCCAGGGGCAAAATTCAGAGGTTGCAAAATTTTATCTAGTAGAGGTAAAAGTGCAGAGGCATTTTAGGGGGTGCGCAAAATTTAAAAAAATAAATGAAGTTGAAGTAAAAGTCGAGCGGTCAGTCTTTAGGGATTTTTCTTTGATTTATTATTTTTTTGGGGGGTGGGGAGCCAAAACGTCAGATAAATATAGTAGTAGGTAAGTATGTTGTGGGGGTTCTCTGAGGGGGGCACAAAATTTAAAAAGATTGATAAAAATACATGAATAGAAATAAAAGGGGTCAAGTCACCCGGGGGAAGAAATGTGGAGGGTACATTTCATCCAACAGAGGGAGTAAAGGGGGTGCTCACCGTGGGGGCAAATTTCAAAAGAGGAAAAAAACAAAGGCTGGCCCCACCCATGGGGGGCAAAGTTTTCATTGAACAAAACACAGTAGTTGAGGTAGTCCAAATAAATGTGATTGGGGAGGAACATTTGGGGGAGGGGGCACAATGTCAGAGGGTAAGAATTGAACGGAGGTTTGTTCGTTCGTTTGACAATTTTCAACAGGCTTTATAATGGATTTAAGAGTCCATGTTGATCATGGCCGCACATTGTGCGACAAGGTTTTTTTCATAGACTAAAATTTTGCGCATATCTCCAAAAAAACCCCAAAGTGATGCCCCGTGCTCGAAACGTCCGCAATGTGACCCACAACTGGACTTCAATTGTGCATCATCGAATGAGCAATAACTACGGTGGCCCTGAAGGACGACATAGTCGTACTGTATGCCCCCTGACGCTGCGGCGTGCAACAAGCGCACGCTTTGTTCGTTCCACGATGCACAATTGTCTGACGCTGAATACGCAGCTTGTTGAATGCTGATGCATTTTGCTGAAACTGTGTGTGTGTGTGTGTGTGTGTGTGTATGCGCGTTTCAGAGTCAATAGGAAGTAAATCAGTCCATTGAGAGGCCCCGATGACATGCTGTCATGTTGTCGGCCGCGTGGGCTCAATATGGCCTTTGTCCCTCTGCCAGGAGGAATGCGGCCGCCAATGTCTTTGAAGCCTTCCGTCCACCATCTTGGACTCTGCGTCAGACCTCCAAGAACTTAGTCCAAGAGTCGTCGGAGTCGGTTTAGCGGCCCCGACCAATCACGAGCACTGAACGAGCTGTTATCGCGCAACCGTCGGCAAAGTGAGGACCCCGATCACATCTTTCAGCACTTGACAAATTCAAAATTGCACGGCGCATAATTGTTGCACTGCCCATTCAAGGAGCCCGCATCAGCGGTGGCACAAAGAGCTAATAACGGCCGATAAATAAAAGCGGCCATGGATTGACTTGCAAGTGGCTTTATTTTGGGGGCTCCAGCTCGCTCCAGTCTGTAAACGATGAGAGCTAAATCGTACAATTTACTCAAAGAATACATTGATTGATGTCCGTGAATGTTTAGATTCCACCTGATCAATGAATATAAACATCCGCAGCAGTGAATCAAGCAAGGCGGCGTTCCCACTAACCCCTCCCTCTTAAGCGTTTTGTTTCCACGTGTATGATGTGCAACACAAAAATACATCGAGCAGAATACAAGCAGAAATTGTACGTACCTGCAGGATGGTGAAGTTCTCCAGGACACTGTTCATCATGTATTTCTCGGGCAGGTGTTTGAGCTTGTGGATGAAGTTGATCATGTACTCGCACAGCGGAGAGCGGTGGATGCGGAACATGTAGCGGCCGTTCTCGAAGCGGGCGTACTCGGTCTGAGCGAACGAAACAAAACGAGCACGTCACGGAAGTCCTATGTGTGAACATATTCGCCATTTTCAACGGCGAACAGCGTCGCGATATGTTTTGCGGTTAAAAAAATAGCCCCCCCAAAAAAACGGCCTCGTGGTACATCCCCGGCGTCTATATGATGAAGTGTAATAAACGTAATGCAATCAACTGTATGTCATGCAGCATGTGAGCGTACTGGACCGGACAATAGACATAATTCTTGTGACAAGGCTAAAATCAAATCATGATGCCGCTAAGTGTCATCGTGAGGTGGACTGAGGCGTCAACCCAAGGCTGTGTGTGTTTATATTGTATATTATAATCCATCAGGCGCAGGTGGGGGCAGGGCCTCCATTGTATTCATTTACCGGGAAATGTAAGTGTGAGTCATCAAGGGGATTTTTTATTTTCTTTTTTTTTTCCCCCCCCTTTCGTCACGTCAACTTCCTGACCACAGCTCAGCGCTGGTTGACTGGAATCCGCCGCAAAGCCTTACATCACGTGCACTCGCTCTCCTTGAATGATTCAAGACTTCTCAGAATGAGAAAGTAGTAGCAAGCGCTCCGTGTTTTAAGAGAGGTATAACGAGTATCTCCAGAACTTTCCGCCGGAATGAAGCTGGAATACGGCGGGACAAGTGTCTATTGTGTCCCGTGGAAATGAAACAACCCTTTAAGCGTGTTACACAAGCCACTGCACTTTGGCTGCAAACAACAGGATTGATTTAACGCTTGCCCATGCAGCATTTGTTGGCTCTCACTTCAGGATAGAAGAAGCCCAGGCCTGGAATTACACCGGACCCTTAAAACTAAACACAAACCAGTCCAGGAGACTGTTTGACGTTTTTTTTTTTTTTTCCCCTGGTTTCAAATACATTTTTGGCTTCAGTCATAACGGCCCTCTAAGGGAAACGGTAACTAAAATGTGGCCCACAGCAAAAATGTGTTTGGTTTAGAGTGTTCCATTAACCTGCTACGCATGTTTTTTGGAATGTGGGAGGAAACCGGAGTACCCGGAGAAAAGCCACCCAGGGACGTAGAGAACATGCAAACTCCACACAGGAAGGCCGGAGTCGTAACTGAACCCTGCACCTCCACACTGTGAGGCCAACGTGCTACCAGTTTTCAGGGTATTCCTAAGCTAGGCTTTAATGTTTGGGTGTTAATGTTTGGGTGTTCTGTGAACTGATATGGGTGGTCCGGTGGACGAATGGTTCGTGCGTCGACCTCACAGTGCAGATGTTGTGGGTTTGATCCCGGCTCCGGCCTTCCTGGGTGGAGTTTGCATGTTCTCCCCGTGCCTGCGTGGCTTTTCTCTGGGTACTACAGTTTCCTCCCGCATTACAAAAACATGCATGGCAGGTTGATTGAACACTCTAAATAGTCCTGAGGTGTGAGTGTGATTGCGGATGGTTGTTCGTCTCTGTGTGCCCTGCGATTGGCTGGCAACCGGTTCAGGGTGTCCCCCACTTACCGGCACCCCCGCGACCCTTATGAGGATGAAGCGGATCGGAAAATGGATGAATGGATGGATATATAGACACAATATATAGACACTCCTCGATAACGTGCCCCCCCTGGACTTGTCCTTACCTCCACTTTTTCCACCACCTGCTTGCCAAAGGAGCAGACTTTGGTGGACGAGGTGATGATCATGCTCTCGGAGCTCTCGTACTGGCTGGAAACCCCGTAGAAGAAGCTGCTGTCGTCCTGCAGGTTCACACTCAGGTCCGCCTGCGCGGGAAGAAACAAAAAGCTCCCGCTCAATTTAAGGCCTTCATTCAGATTTTGGGGTGCAAAAAAAAACCGATATGCATGTTCCTCTGGATATGTGGAGGGAATAAATAAATCAATCATTCAAAAAAAAAAAAACTCTCCAAGATCTTGTAAAAAGTCTTCCAAGGAGAGCACTTCCTGGTGACTTCCATCAAGCGGCGCGAGTCTGTTTGAGAAAGAATCTTGACAGCTCAGTCACGCTTGAGAATAAATTCTCCGCAAAGCCACGTGGCATCCAAAGTGCCGATCCCAGTTGACCTTGGCTAAGGCTGCCAAAGTAGCCTCGAGATTCCAAAGATGCTGTGTGTGTCTCCTTCCTGGGTTGGATTCATGAGTAACAACACTTTGGGCCAGTTGATGGTGCAATTCCCGACGATACTGTAAATGCACTTGAGAAACCGAGAGAAGTGCTTCGACACATCCAAAGTGATGGCCGCTCATATTGTACAGTTGGAGTAAATTTGAGCGTTCAAACAAACGTGTTGCCTATGTCGATGGTTAGCTAAACCGTACATACTCCACAGACTGCAATTCCAAAACGCACGAGAATGTGTTCATTCATTCAATGGTCATTTCAAACTGATCTTAGAACAGTTTGGTTGTCGGTCGAAGCGTAGCACCGAAGCGACACTTCCTTGAGACTAATTACTACTTTCCCATGAGCCAGGATTTTAACACCATCCTCTGGCATCTGAGGGTGTTACAGAAAGAGTTTTTCAGTAAATATCTGCGCATTGGGGCCACGAAAAAAAAAAAAAAATTTGTGAACAGCGATGAGTTGAGACTTCAATGTATGGAACTTTTCTACCTTCAGCACCGTCTTGTTGACAATAGCAGGAGCAACCAGCGTGGGGTTCGCTATCTTGGACGTGCACATGGAGGCTGAAGGGGGCGGCGTACCACCTGAGCCAAGCCATTCCCAATTCAGATTTCATAACGGCGCTTTAAGATAATACGCAGCTGCAATGGAGCAAAAAATGGTCCAAAGCACACAAAGCTAATTCAATTGGATGCCACATTTGTAAAGCATCAAATGTTTTAACGGAGATTTCTTAAGGTCAATTTGAGCCTCAAGTGCATGCAGATGCACCAAACGCTTCATGTCGGAATTGGCGAGCGTAATCCGATTTTGGGTCCGACCGAGGTGCGCTTTCAACGTTGACAGCCGGCCTGTTTCGCCCTCCCCCCCCCCCCCCCAACTAATGGGCCATTGAGACACTGCTCGGCCTCCTCATCTCTTCGTCGCCACGTTCGTCTTCATCTGGGCCTCGTGTAATTCTTCTATTTGTCTTCATCCCCGAGGCCCGGCCACCATCGCCGGAGCCCCATCGCCCGCCTTACGGCCTGCGAGGGAATTCATCCAATTACAATCAGCGGCATACAATTGGCTGATTAGATCACGCCGGGCCGGCCGGCTGTGCAACAATTTAGCAGAGGCAGCTCAAATCAGATTCCCTGGGCACTTCAAAAGCGTGCGACAATCTGTTAGGACAGGGCTACGGGCGCAAAGAGGAGGGGAGGGCGGGGAGGAGGGTGTCAGGCTAGCCGGTGGCCGACAGGGGCGTTTAGCGGAAATTGAATTTAAAATGCCATAGTTTTGAAAATGGGTCATCTGCCTGTCACCGTTGCCATGGCAACCCGTACCTCAGCACACACCCTGGGGTCACCACTTCCCCGGGCGTGTCCTCCTTGCTCTTTATGAAGGTAAAGAGGACTTTTCCGATTGCCGGCACAGATATATTTTATTGTTTTAATTCAAAGATGCTTTTGTAAGATCTAGGTTTATGAATGACAGCTGGAGATCTATTTTTTTTTCCATTTATACCACGCGGAACCGCTCGGGTTTTCAGAAATTCAGCATGCGAAGGTTCCCAAAAAATAGACCCCATTTTATATGCTGAGGTTTTAGCCTACAGTTCCAGCGTGAGGTCAATTCATCGCCGAGATCGCACCGAGTGTGGATCAAAACAAGACTAAAATTGAGAACGTGAGAAAAAAAAGAGATATCAATAGGTAGTGATCGATAGTACGGTACAGTTTGTCTGCACTGCCAATGTTGCGGTCTTTTGAGGGCGGGACACTTTTTGTTCTTTTAATTCAAAGATGCTTTTGTGAAGATCTGTTTTAAAATGACGCCGAGAGCAAGACCCCTTTTCCAACAATCAGAGCCGTTCAGTTCAGCATGTACAGAGTCCCCCCCCCCCCCATTTTTTTTTTTTTTTAAACCCGGCCATGTTCAATGTGGCTGGCGCCAGTATTGAGTCGATTGGTTGCCACGACAACTAAAATATAATTTATCTGAGGTTGTTGCTTGTGAAGGTGCGTTTGTTTTGGGGTGGATATATTCAGTTGAGCACACGTTCTTTGGCATACGAGGAGCGGAAGTACGGTACAGTTCCCTTGTGTTGGGTGGAGCATTGCATGCTGATTGGTCAAGAGAAGTGTCACTCATGAATGAACTGCTCCACATTGAATTCATTCTCGCTGTTGTAATGTCTCCTATCCCAAAGCGCTCAGCCGAATACCAATCGGAATCGTGCTATGGCAAACCGAACTGGAACTTGGTGAAAACCTGGCTTAGGATGAACCTCTTGGGAGGGGACCGACCCTGCACCGACTTAATATTTCATTGACTGACTGATCTCTTTCTCTGGTTCACACCACAAGTCTCCATTTCTATCTCCTCACTTTTATGAGAGTCTCACTCCCCCCTTTTTTTCCGATGATATATGGATGACAGGTCTCATCTTGCCCTCGTTCAAATGCCACCCGGGAATCTGACCAGCTGCCTTTCCCCAAAGGCCCACCTAAGACCACTTCCAAAACGGTGTCACTCACAAATGTCCTTTATCCCGCCACGATAAATAATGCGGAAGTCCAACATGTGAGAAGGGTAACCCCATACATACAAAATCCATCTGGCAGGCATGAAAAGGCGAGGCGGTACTTTCAACTTGACATTCACGGTCCCTTGGCAATGCAAAGGGTCTTCTGTATATTTGACAATTATCCTTGATGGCCTTGTTCAACGCATCCACCCGTTCATTTTCGACCACTTCTCCTGTTATGGGTCACCTCACCGGTGAGCTGGAGTCAATCCCAGCTGACTTTGAACAGGTCGGCGGTCAATCACAGGACACGTAGACAAAATAAAATCACTCACATTTACACCGACAGAGGAGTTCGAGACTCATAAATAAAATGGTGCACGCGAGTCTCCTGCTTCACTTACTGTGAAATGAAAATAAATGTTTCCTGAATTTGAAACACCACCGAAAAGAGTGTTGTGAACAACCCTGGCAAAGTTGAAGCATTCATAAAATTGTAGTATAAAAAAAAAAATAATGAAATATCAAGCCTTAGTGTCCGCTCTCAAAACGCTGGCGGATGCGTCTGCTGAATGTGCTGAAACCACACCAAGCTCAACTATCAATCGTCAATGAATACAAACTGGAAAAACGGATGCTAATTCATCGAGCATCTTTCTTATGCTTACACATGACTGCATGATTGAGCGGCAAAAATATATTCGCTAAAAGCTTCCGGTGGGCTATTTCACGGCATGTCAATGAGGAGCTCTAGTGGCCACGCCAGGGGACTAGCCAAAGGAATGGTGTATCTTCACGGTATAGCCAAAGCTAACTATCGAACTGCATGTCAGAATTGCGCCGGATACCACTGACGCCAACAAAGGCGCTCAAGTTCTTTCTATAGATTGTGTGGAATGGGGGGGAGTGCGTCACTAGGCACGTAGCCAACTTGAAAAAAAATTAAGAACACGGATGTGGCAAAAAAAAAAAAAAAAAAGCATTTCTACGCAATATCGCTACAATTTAAGTATTACATCGGTCTTGGCACAATTTTCGCTAAAATCTTCAAACAAGTATCATGTGTTTAAAAACAAATCTTTTTATAAGGTCTTCAATGACTCATTTCGCCACTCAATCCGCTATATGGGTAAAGTCAAAACAGGATAGCGGGCTTCCTGCGTATGCGGCCATAACTAGCGTAACCTTACAATGATGACATGTTGGTTTGAAGCCAAGCTAGCTAAAATTGAATTGGTGACCTGGGAAAAAATTTACAGCCACGGAAAAAAAACTTAGGAGACTAAACTTCAAATGCCTTTCTTCAAAATGATGAAGTCGTAATATCTAAAGTTGCACAGAAACGGCCCTGGAAAAGCAATCGACTATTGACAAAGTGGTCATGGGCTTGCAGTGTTTTTTTATCGAAATCAAAAATGAGTTTAGAAGAAACAAACAAGGTAGGCTGACAAATTGGCTCTCTCAGCACCATTCCAAGACACGCCCACCCCTTTCTTGCCATGCCACATACATGATAATCCGTTAATTCCTTGTCACTGCAGTGGCTTGAAGCTCGTCTAGGACAGTTTTGGGAGACGTGACAAAAGAATAGTTATAGACCCCCCCCCCCGACCCCCCCCCGCATACTACTATTGGTACGGTAGTTGAACTACATCTATTGCTGAATTTATCGAATTTTCAATGTGGTCTTTAAAATTCATTTAGGGCCATAGACGTATTTATTTTCCGTCTGTCTAAAGTTGACTTTGGTCAATACACGCTTTGCTCTCTGGTGGTTCAATCATATACGTGTGTTTTAGGGTGGAGCTGCTCTATAAATAAGTACATAGGGAGGAGAAGGGGGGTGGGGGGGAGTAGGGGCTGCAAAAGTGTTGGACTCGCACAGGGACAGGTGCCCGGGTTCACATTTCCTCTGGTGAAGTTCAGAGCTGTCAGTCTCCCCTCAAGGCTGCTTGTCACACACTTTCTCTTACACACATCATCATCATCATCAGAGGGAAAATACTGTACACTCTGCATCGATGCCACTTTTTGTTTTTTTTTTTTTTTATGGTGCGTGTGGTCGGGTGATCACAGCGAGGACTGTGCTAACTGTCTGAATTGTCCTTAATGTCCTTTGACTGCAATACGTAAGCTCTCACAACACAGTTAACACTGCAGGACCATTAACAGCCGACAGGTGCAAGAAAACATTAACAGGAGTACGCATTGTACTTCACCCTAATGACTTTGGGAGGGGCCGTCGGCTCTGATGATGCCTCCAATTTAAGGATTAACCCGAGTAAATGAACTACCGTATTTTCCGCACTATAGGGCGCACCTTCAATGAATGGCCTATTTTAAAACCGTTTTCATATATAGGGCGCACCACATTATAAGGCGCATAGGTTACAATAGTGGCTGCGGTTGCATTATGTATCCACCAGATGGAGCTACGCAAAGGGGTAAACAATACAATACAACTTGATTGATATAGAGCTTTCCCAACCACTGCAGCTGGAACAATGCGCTTTAGAGAACATTTAACAAACTACGTCCAAGAAATCTGAATATTGAGCCATGTATAAGGCACATCGGATTATAAGGCGCACTGTCGGCTCTTGAGAAAATGGAATGCTTTTACGCGCACCTTATTGTGCGGAAAATACGGTAAATCATCTAATTTACATGTGATTGCAAGACGAAAGGTCTTTTTTTTTTTTTTTTTTTACCCAGAACTTGACAAGGAAGAAAGCATTGTGTGGCCCCTTGTCGAACAGCTCCTTCAGGCCTCCTTTCTTCTCAGGGAATTTGTCGTAGATCTGCCTGACATCCACCGACTCCAGGTAGGGGTCGCTGTAGCTGGGGTTGGACTGACCGATGTGCACGAAAAGGTGTTTGTTGAACTGGGGAGACCGGAAGAAAAAAAAAGTGGGGAGTTATTCATGTTAAAATGCTGCCATTAAGGGTCTTTAAGCACGCAAGTTCAGTGGAGCGTCCATTTTCAGTGCTTCATTTGTCTCAAATGAACAGAAGACATCACATTTTGCACATCTTACCAAAGTAATTTCTCTGATTAGCTGTTGTAAGACTCGCTAGCATATTACGATTGGACTCATCTGCAGCTACTTGTTTGTGCAGTCACAATTGAGCGCGGTGAGAGGTATGTGCAGCTCCCAAAAGATCAGTATTGTCAATCTCCGCAAACAGAAAGCTCATCCTAGTAGGAATTAAAAGAATTCGGGCTGGCTTGTCTTTTAATGTTGTGACTATCGGCATACCATGATAAAATCTATTTTGTTTTATAGACTATACATGCACATTTAGGTCATTTTTTTTTTAAAACAAGAAAACAATCAGCTTTGGATTCTGCACCCAAAAATTTGTTAAAAACAGCTGTCAGGCCGAACTTAACAAAAATGGCGTTCCCCAGTGTTGCAGTATCTTGCATGGCTCGAGGAAAAACTGAGACCAGTAGTACATGAATGGATGAAAGAAACGACTTTCACGTGGTGAAATAACATTAGTCCACTTACAGTGTCTGGGTCCTGAGGTTGCTCCAGGAAGGCGGAGAACTCCAGCATTCGCAGCTTGGAGCTGGCGATACATCTCCCCTGCCAAGGGGGCGCACCGGGTGACATGGACAGCCCTGCAGTGCTTTCATAACCTGGTAAATGGGGCGGTGGGCAGTTTGAGTGCAAAACATGCAAAGATCGATGCAATGTCTGCATCGTCATCATTTTGCCGGCGAGATGGTGCTCTGTCAACACGACAGGAGTTAGGGAGGGAAGGCGCCCACCTGTTATGGGGGCCGGGCCGGACGCTTGCATGGTGTAACTCTGTTGGGAGAAGGGCTTAATGCTGGGGGGGGGGAGAAGGGGAGAGAGCGGTATGTTACTGCCTTGTGACCCCATCTCATACACTAATTGGACCGCCTGACCTCTAAAGGCGCAGGGGACACGGCGGCATGCCTGACGTCTGACAGCTGACTTTATCATTTACACGGACACGCTCTAATTTGTCCGCCCGATCCGAAATGCATCTGATGCGCATTCAGCGGATCGGATGAGACGCGAATGATATGATCATGACTGCGGAGAGCGAGCGGCGCACTCACTCTTCATGGCCTCCTGGCTGTCCCGGAAGAGCCCCGTGCCAAAACTGGAATAAATGGACGGAAAAACAAATTTAGAGCCTCGATACAAGAATCGAAGTTGAATAGGTTCAGTCGCTTTCTTACAAGTAGACAATGAATGCATTTTTTATTATTTTTTTTTTTTACAGTGTAGTTGTGCTAAATATGATGACCAATGTGAACAACATCAACTTCATAAGAAAGGGGCTAAAAAGTCCTTGAAGGGTACTATTCAGTGACTCACCCCACCAGCCGTGGGGTAAGCCGGCCTGGAGAGCCCCTGGAGCGCCATCTTGTTCTGGAAGGCCGCGGGGGAGATGATCTGTGCCGAGGACATGGTGGCCATGCTCTGTAGCGCCTTGTCTTTGGCGGCCTGGTCCTACGGGTGGACGACAGAGAGCGGGACACAGTAACGCAAACGGGAGAGCACTCAATAGGCGCAGCAGTTTGGCCGGTAACCCAAGCGAAGCTCCTCAAGGGGAGAGGAAGGGCCTGAGGCCAGCTTGCCGCACAGGTGAAGATAAGGTGATATTACAGTCAAGAGTTTGGTTTACTGCTTCGGCGGGGTGATGACAAGCGGCTTCTGTTCGTGGACAAATCGGGTCACAAGGTGATATAATCATTACCGTCGAAAAAAAAAAAAAAGCGGCAAAGCACTAATGCCACCAAAAAGACAAAAACAAAATCGTCAGCTGCTCCTCAACCGTCTGTGCTGTGCTTTCCGGTAACCCAAGCGAAGCTCCTCAAGGGGAGAGGAAGGGCCTGAGGCCAGCTTGCCGCACAGGTGAAGATAAGGTGATATTACAGTCAAGAGTTTGGTTTACTGCTTCGGCGGGGTGATGACAAGCGGCTTCTGTTCGTGGACAAATCGGGTCACAAGGTGATATAATCATTACCGTCGAAAAAAAAAAAAAATGCGGCAAAGCACTAATGCCACCAAAAAGACAAAAACAAAATCGTCAGCTGCTCCTCAACCGTCTGTGCTGTGCTTTGTGGCAACGTGATACGCCTGCGCCTAAATCCACAGTGGTTTCCTGAAAGCACAGTGGATTTTAAGGGCAAGGCCACCCGGTGCATTCTTCGTGGCGGGGCTGGATGACACAAGGGCATAGCTGGAATATGGGAGCAGGGGCTGCCAGTGGTCTGGATCTCAGTTACAGCAGAGTCACATTTAAAAAGCACCCCTCCGTCATATAGGCTAACCGTGTGACCGCTGCGAGGCTCAGCCAGCTGAAGACTTGTGGCTCGCGCGGCAAAGAAAAGGCCCCACGGCCGGCTGCGAACGCGGGATGACGCTGGAACTACTTTTGAGTCTTAATACCTTTAGGGGAATAACACGGTGATTCATTTGTTCCCTGACAATTGTATCTGGTCCGGCGTGCTCATAATTGTACATAGTAAAGCCCTCTGGGCTTCTTGAAATAAGTTTCATAAAACACCACGTTTAAAAATGTCAATTAGAGGCTGCAATTTAATATTCTAATTGGAATGTGAATACATGAGCATTAGGACTGAAAGCAAACCCCCCATTTCGATAGCGAGTACAGGACAAAATATTTGAGCAGTGGTGATTTGAGTGACTTGATTACGTTGCACTGTGAGGGTGATTTTAATGTTTTTCGGGGTTTTTTTTTTGCTTTGACTTGCGAAATAAGATCAGAAATACGATCGCTGTATGGTGCCGGTAAACGCATTACAACAAGCAGCAGTTTGGCAGACTGAATAATTTTTCAAAAGAGAGACATCAAGCAACTTATCGCCACTCCCATTTGAAGCTAACTGTCAAACTAAACATAAAACAAAGAGAACGACACGTACAGTGTGTATGTGAAACAATCGCATTGCTTCGCCTTAAAAAAGGTGATTTGCAAAACACCGCATGGTCACAAATTAAACTTGCATCCCAAGACGCCACTGTATCCGAAACATCTTGCCACTCGCCATTTCATAATACATAATAAAAACGAAGAAAAAAGGTTGACTCACGTAGCGTACCTTCAGCTTCACCTGGATCTCCCGGGCCTTCCTTCGTGCTAGGACCTGGATGTGACTGGACACCTAGAGGAGACCAAAAAAAAAAAAAAAATGTTGGAAATTTTGTTAACTATAATGCGTCCAGTATTTATCTGATGGAAAATAGAACCATAAAAACATCTCATATGCAAACATGCAAATTAGTATTGAACTGGAGACTGCTGGAAACAACTTTCAAAGACTTCCAAAGTTCAAATTCAACATGAAACATCAACCTGAGCAAAAATGTACAATATGGAAGAGGAAAAGAAAAAAAAAAAAACACGATATAGCACTGATCATTTTGGAGCAGCCAGCAACCGCCTAAAAGCCGTGTGTTGTTTGATTTAACTGACCCGCCAAATGCTTTTGAATTGGATGCCTGTGCTGTGCTGTGTTATCTTGCAATTGCACAACAGACAATACGTCATAATCATTTTTGTTTCTGGCATTTCAAAAATGTTTTACACAAGCCGAAACATTGCGCTCTCATTTTCCCTGCGTTACGCCAAAATTAGCCGGTCAGATAAATCACATTGCATGTGTGAGACCCATCTATTTGTATCTCTTCAACTTTGCAAGCATTTTTGAAAAATGTTTTTGCAAACTTTGAGTAAACCAGCCCCCCGTGTCGTTTATAGCTTCGGCCATTGGGCTTCTCAACACTTTCCTGCACTCTTTTCAAATGAAGTGCTTTCCTTTTAAGCGTTCATGGATGGGGTTTTGTTGTGTCGCATTACTTGAATCTCATTGTTTTTATTTTATCAGTCTGTCACATAGCCTGTTTACCGACTTGACATATATTTTATGACCTCAAATGTTTTGTTGAGGCTGATGTGCATTTGGACCTGGAAGCTGCAAATGAATTGCCCACACCGGGATCAATAAAGTTGTCTGAAGCTGAATCCGACCCTCAGTCCATCTCCGGCCCCTCGCTGCCTTCTCTCATCACCACTCCCACAGTGACTGTGCCAGATGACTTAGCAGGGTCTTTCTCTATGCACATCCATCATTGCCAGCCCTACATCAGTCCCTTCGTATCAGATGCCACGCTTGGGGATAGTGTTGCAAATCCCTCGCCTTATCTGCATGGACATAGTCCCCCTGCTCCTCGCAGCTTCTAACGAGCAACAAGTCCACGAGGCGCACAAAAAAAAAAAAAAAAAAAAAGCATGCCAACATACAATCCCATTGCATGCGTAGTGCGGGCTGCTGGCCCCGAATCAGTCGTCGGGACGGCGGTTCGGGGGCCGCTACTCGGGGGAGTCGGGGGCATCACTCAGCAGGGGCAGACTTTCTGAAGGCCTTCAAAAATAGGGACGACTCACAAGTGGCTGCGTTGGACTCACCTGCTTCCTGGTCCGCGTTTTTCCAGTGCGCAGTTTGATGTAGCGTGCTATCAGCTCGTTCCGTCCTGTCATGGAAAAAACAAACAAACAAACAACGTCACTTTCAAATATGTCTTTGCTTTCATTTTTTTTTTTTTTTAAGCAGAAAATCGGAATAATTAGTGACACATTGAGGATCTTATGTGATTCGGTAAAGGAGCGGTTTGAAAAATTCACCCTTGTATTATTGGAACTGCAAGTTCACTACAACTACAGCACTCCAAAATTCTATATTTTGTACAAATATGAAGGAATGACATAATTGCACAGAAGTAAACAGAATCAACATCCTGTTCAGTGAGACATCTCAACTGCTTACAGCTCATCAGTACAGCACTAATATTGGTCATTCCTCACCGAGGATAAAGAATATATGACTGTGAGTACTATTGCTGGATTGTGTTCGATCCATTGCTTGAAGCGTACTAGCATGGCCACACATATGCTAATTAGCATTAAGCTAGTGGACCGAACGGCTAAACGATGTGGTTGTTTTAAATACACTCAGTGTAATTCTCTAGGTTTTATGTTTAGTTTGATACAAGCGATATGTAACTGCTTAATAGTTTGGTGCGCTGAGGAAAAATTCTGGAGACCCCTGCGTTAAGGATATATACGTACAGTACGCGTGTCTCTCTGAAGGCCGGCTTCAGTGTCAAAGAGTGACAGTCCACACTTGTACTTACACAGCGGGTGCGGATCAGTGCACGTCCACTAATGACAGACAGCTCACACTGGCGTAGCAGGTGGCGACCGCGGCGGCAATCAGATCCCTAGGCCCCGACCCGGGACAGACAGCACAGGCCACCGCACCAAAAGGGGGCCCAGTCTAGTGACACTGCCAGGCAGCTGGTGTGTGTGTGTCAATGTTTATGGAATATGCCTTTACGCCCACAGTAAATCTTGGCCTTGTTCCCCTCGCCACAGTCACCCTCACCTACCCTCTCGCCCAGTTGAGAGGCTCGGGTGACGCCGGAGGGCAACGGTCATGAGGTTTCCTACGACCTCGACATCCTCGCACGCAAGGTCCAAGTTTTAAAATGAGGGAGACGGTTCATGTGACCATGTATCTCGTTCATCAGTAGAACCTCAAAAGTCAAGTGTCCCCAAAAATGTATCATTTGGACTTCAAACAAATTGTTCTGGAAGGAAATAGACTCCGTCATTCACCAAGTCTTGCGAGATGTAAGCATATTTCAATTTTAATTCTATGACTAACACACCAAAGCTCGCGGTGAACACGTAAACGCTGCTCAATGATGAACATCGTAAATCTGCACATTTAGAGAAACTGTTGTAAATTCTGTTCTCAAGAATTGTCTGAAAACAGTCCTTCAGATTAGGAAGCAGGAAGTTTTTTGTTTCATTTCTAGTGTGACGCTTACATCTGCCGCCAACTCACCGTAGCATGAATTGGTCACTGGCGGCCATCTTGCGTTGCCATTCACAAAGTGAGCCTAAGTCTTTTGCACTGTGGTTGAGAGAGGAAAGTAATTTCATCTGTGCTGTATGTTGCACAAAGAGCATATTTGACAATAAAGCTTGACTTGACTAAGTCAAATATAGATTTCTTCATATTGTTTTCACGTTGTCTGCATTACGAAACTGGGGGCCAGTCCATTCTTTTGCAGAGAATCAAGAAATGGGCAAATAAGCATCTGTTGTTCAGATTGGCCCATCGGAAAAGGACTTAACGCAATGATCCATCTTGATTTTGTTCTCGTATCAGATGCTCCGCCACTCCTTGGGTGAATGCTTGGGGAAGGTCCCGTTAAAAATACTTTCCAATACACCCACGATATCAGAGGCGAGTCATTCACTCGGTGGTGAGATCATCCGGTGAGAATTAGCCAGAGAGACCACTTGTGCCAACCGAGGCCGCAGCGTAACACGAGGAAGGTTTCTCAAGGGTACACATCAAATTAGAGCAAGTCACACATTTTTTAAGACTTCCACTGCAATCCTGTAGGTGGCAGTAATGCACATTGCCAACCGACACACATTGTAAGTATTGTTTTCAACACGAAAATCGTACACCTTCTCAGGGTACTTTTTGCCGCTATTCCACAAGAAATAAAAGGAAAATGTCAAAACATTCTTGCATTTAAATAAGGGACGAAAATAAACCAATGGAATGGATTTTCTGTTTGAATTTTTTATTTTTTATTTTAAACATTCGGTCATTCATTTTAGTGTACCGTATTTTCCACACTAAAAGGCGCACTGGATTATGAGGCGCACCTTCAATGAATGGCCTATTTTGTAATTTTTTTCATACATTGGGCGCACCGCATTATAAGACGCAATCTACAACGCATCCACTAGATGGAGCTACGCTCAAGGAGACGCCAACAGAATGATCAGATGTCAGTAAAACGTATTTAAATTAATAAAGCAGCGACACAGTTCACTTAATACTTTTACACAGCAAGTTATAACCATGTTAACGCTGCCGCTGCTCTACTTCTGTGTTCAACTGCGTAACCGATCGCTTTAAGTTTGAATTCTGCATTGTCAGCATTTCTCGAGCAAGGAGCCATTTTGGGGTCGAAATATTACCGTAATGACCATACACAAGGCGCATCAGATTTTAAGGCGCGCTGTAAGCTCTTAAGAAAATGGAAGGCTTTTAGGTGCAGCTTTTAGTGCGGAAAATACGGTAGTTTGACGGGGTAAGTTGATGGGGCAGGTAAAGGCACACTCTGGTGTCCCCCCCCATCCAGAGTCAGTCCTTGAGCCGGGCAGGTCATAAATCTGCATCAATGGCCCAGTGTGATCACTCCCGCTCAGTGCATTCCTGACATTCCTATACACTGACAACGGCATCTGCATCTGCATCTGCCGCTCTGACATAGCCCCACGAGAGCATGTCCTGTTTGGGCACAACAAAACATTTGCGCATTCATCGGGGGGAAACTTTATAACACACAATCTGTACATAATTTAGTACTATCAAATCTCATGCCGTCACGATCTAGTGGACACCTGCATAACAACAAAATATGCCAAGTGCCATTTTCCATGGCAGTCAAGAGTTTTCCTTCCCCTGCTCAGGATGTGTCTGCTCAGGAAGATCGCATTAAGGCTGACGGAATGTCTTGGTAGGGTGTGATTTCCCTCCCCGCGCCACCGTGTGCTCAGCTAAGTGTTCTCCGAAAAGACGCGTCATATATCGATGCTAACAATGACTCAAGTCCAAGTGGCGATGACGCAAGAATCTTCACAGTGACTGATACGCTTCAATCGATTAAGTTTCTACGTTTTTAAATTTCTGATCAATCAATTTGAAATATTAATATGTGCACAACCACGAAGTGCAACCAAAAAAAAATCAGTAATTTACTTTTATTTTGCATTAAAGCGACTGGACATGACTACTAACAGTCTAGTGACAAATAACTATACTAGTGGCTCCAGAAAGCTGCCCTGCAGAACTCCGCATTTTTCTTGCATGTTCAGTGGCTGTCATACCTCAACATTTTTTTTTCTGAGAGATGTAATTTGGGTGGATGCGCTCTGAGCCAACAAGTTCTTCATTTGTAATAGTATTTTACATAATTGCACGCAAACCTTCCAGCTGCCCTGGCTCAGGAGGCGCCACATAAAAAGAGCACAGGTCAAGACAAAAGTTGAATCTCACACTTGACTGGTAACGTTTACACACGAGTGAGACGACGCACTTTGCGCTGACCTTTACATCACATTTTTAATGAGACTCCCTTGAGAGCCATATGACATATTTATATCAGCACACAAAAAGACAACAATAGGATGACAGGCTGCGCGAGCAAAGCTTAGCGGGATAATGCTTCGGTGTGCGCATATTCTTTGTTTGCCAAACTGTGTGAAAATCCTGTCAGCATTCAGGGAAGCTTTGTTGACTTCATTCACAACAGCAATGAAAGCCGCCTCCTTTTTTTTTTTTCCCCCCTCCACATGAACAGAACCATCAAAATCCTGGATAAGAGCTGCTCTCACAGCTGTTAGCGCATCAAGTGTGACGAAACCAAACAGCTGCATCAAACAGGATGTAGTAACCCTGCCCAGTGAGTAAATAATGCATATTGAACAGAGGCATACAGATTTCCTTGTATGGCGAGATAATTTCATTTTCAACGCCGCATTCCACACTGGTCCGCACCGTATAACAAGCAACTGTTGTTGTTGTGAGTTTTTTTATTCCATTATTCCAACATGAGGCCTCCGGTCAGAGTGCGGGGCATATCTCTTGCTGAGAGCCACACAAGGCAGGAAATGTTTTCCTTGGCAGACGCATGTCGAATTACCACAGGCGCACAGACGGCCACAATATCCTCGACACTGTCCCTAATAAGCCAGCTAATAGGCCTGCTGAGTAATGAGCTCAGGGGCCCGGGGGGGAAAAAAAAATGTGGCAAATGTATGGGGGCTATGGGCTGAAAACATTCCCATCAATTACGGAATCCACAATGGGCACAAGCAGGCATTCCTTCAACGTTGCTGCCCGGAGAGACTCAATGTCATAGTTGTACCGAAAGAATGGCATTCATTCCTCGGCCGGGAATTCGACCTAAAATTCAGAAAATGCCGCATTCAGCCGGCAGACGCATTGTTATTTTGCTGTTTTGTCTATGAGCTCATATTTAAGCTTGCGGAAGGCCACCAAATAACCTTTTCAGGAGAATCAACTCATTACCTGGTAGCCATTTAATTTGGCCACCCGCGAGACGACAAGCGGTCGGCGCTGTGACAACATGATCAACATTGAAGACCGACAAAGTGGCTTTGCATTGATTGCGGCTGCTTGAATGACTGGAGTTGCTGGCCTACCGGTGAGTCGCTGGACACCGGTAAAGCTGCAAGGGCTACAAACGATGAAGTATCCGGGCCGCTTTGGGGAAATGGTTACGTTACCAAAAGCATTTGTCTAAATCTCGGACTGTCACAACAATGTTGGGTTGAACCGCGAAGGCAGCAGAAAGGAAAACGGGCAGAGACTAAATGCGCTTCTTCTCGATGGCAGAAGGTACAATTCACCTGTATTTCCACCTGGTGCTTGTCATCCAGCAAAATCATAACTTTGTGCTGAATTCAGCAGTTCCAGATTTTAAACGGATAAAATTTAAAACGCTCACCTTGGGGAACAGGCACTGTGCCCTTCTATTTCGAATTCCCAACTAGGGGTGCGTATATTCCCCCACCTTCTGCAGACAATGAACGATCTTACATTTGAGTACTCACTATTCTTGATCAAGAGATTATGTCTCATGGTTGAAAATGCGTTTTGTTTGAATGAAAGAGTGCTCAAAAAGAGATTGTTATTATACATGGCAAAAGTGTCAATCAAACATAATACTTATAATTAGCATTACAATAAATTCTGGGTGGCCCGGTAGTCCAGTGGTTAGCGCGTCGACCTCACAGTGCAGAGGTACCGGGTTCAATTCCAGCTCCGGCCTCCCTGTGTGGAGTTTGCATGTTGTCCCCGTGCCTGTGTGGGTTTTCTCCGGGTACTCCGGTTTCCTCCCACATTCCAAAATCATGCATGGCAGGCTGATTGAACACTCTAAATTGTCCCTCGATGTGAGCGTGAGCGCGAATGGTTGTTGGTCTCTGTGTGCCCTGCGATTGGCTGGCAACCGGTTCAGGGTGTCCCCCACCTACTGCCCGAAGACGGCTGGCATAGGCTTCAGCACCCCCCGCGACCCTTGTGAGGATAAGCGGATCGGAAAATGGATGGATGGATGGATAATGAATTGTGTTTCACATCCGATCATTACGATGTTGTCGAGAGTAAGGGGAGGAAAAAAAAACCTAAAGTGAACTAAAAAGCATATAAAAGGCATTCAGGTCCTGACTTCAGTGACAAGGTAAGAGGAGTTGGCCCATTAAAGAGCGGGAGAGGTTGAGGACGAGGTAAATCCCTGAAATAGCGCTTGTGCACTGAGGGGACAGGTGTGAGAGAGCTGCGCCGGGGGCCCCCAGAGGCCATGCAAGAAACCACTGTCCACCTTGGTGTTTATTTGTCTCCTCCCCCCACCCCTCTTCCAGGCGCTCAAAGGGTAAACGTCTATTCTGGTTTAGCGTTACAGCTGAGCTGCCTTGAACCCCCGGACTACCAAGTGCACATGCCATTCCTGGCAAGCCAGTGCGCTCCCTGGTGCACATCATCAAACCCCACGAACCCCCCCACGGGGGTTGGGGGGGCACTTTTTTTTTTACCACCTTTCCATCAAACTTAGCCCATGAAACCCTTCATTGCTGTGACAAAGAATGAGCCCCGCGCCCCCTCCATCCCAAGGCGATCTTGTGTGTCACGCAGAGGCCAGCGACAGCCGCAAAAGGTGGCAATGCTAACAGTTAAAGTAGCGGTTTGGCACCGACACAACACAAGGCGATGACAGAGCTCGTCTGATCGCGCCAATACTTCTGTCCGACGTGCTTTCCAACCACCGGATCCATCCAAGTCGCCACATGGCACGCGTTGCGGCCAAAGCCATTTGCTAGCAAACATCTTTCAGCGACGTGTCATGGAGGCACGCCAGCTTACCTTTGCAGACACCTGCTTGGCAGCGGCACCGCTCCGATTCTTTTCAGTTCAAGAGCAAAGTCCTCCTCAATCATTCTTTTTCGAATCAAGTCGCTATTTTCGAACTGAGCTAAGGAGGAAGTGCACCTGCTTCGGGGGAGGATGTGCGTAAACAATTGGGCTTGATTGTCTCTGCTTAACATGCCACAATGGACGGTGATCATGAATCATTTTGTTTGTGGAAAAAACGGTGATCATCTGGGATTTGATCAAGTTAGTATTTGCAACCACATGATTAAGAAGTCCAGTTGCAGTTTTATCGTCACTTGAGCGTGGCAGGAAATGTAACAAGATTTTGCCGCATGTCTACTCGGTAAACAAAAAGAGTGCAGCTCAGCCTCTGGCTAACAAACACCGCGGATAGTGATATGCTTGCTCTTAAAACCAAGCTATGTACCTAACTGTGATTTCTGGCCGGACTATTACAAACCAGTTAAATCGCTATGTTGTAAAAATTGCAAAAAAAAAAAGGCTTTACTGATAACACCAATAAGTGTGGCTCCTCAGGCTGGTGTAATAAGTGCGTACTGTATTTGCATTGCAGCAAGCGCCCGCAGTCGCTGTCACAAGTTGATGGCATATTTGACTACTGCTGGCTCTGCTGCATTTCTTTTTAATAAGACGGTTGATGACGCAGAGGCGTGAACTGTCAGAACTTTAATTATTTAAGGAAAAAAAAAATTGGATGAGTCATTTTCTCAGCCAAGGAAATGTCGACAAAGACCCATCCCGACAAACGGCACGTCATCCTCCACATATTTCATCCATCCGCCATTTTCCATGCCGCTTATCATGTTCAGGGTCACAAGGGAAGCTGGAACCCAGCCCAGCTGGCTTGGAGCCGAATGGGAGCTACGCCCCCTGGACTGGTACAACTCTACGCCGGCTGCATGAAAGTCAGCTAGGTGAACCGCGACGCGACTAGCCTGCCTTACGATCCGCCAGTTTACAACAAATTATTTCTAAAAAGCACTTAAAAATAGGCTTCACTACATTCCACACCTTGAAACGACTAGCACGGATTCTGTTTTCCGCTGCAAAAGACTGCGCATCTGTTGGCGAGGTTTTGGCCGACAGTGTGTTGCGCTGAGGGACTGAGTGGAAGTGACAGCTGTGCAGGAAACACAAGAAGGCGAAAGAGGGTGTGCGCACGTGTGTAAATACTCTTTCTCATGTATCTGACAGTGAAAGCGATAGAGGGGCGGGGCGTACCGTACATCTTGCCCTCATCAGAGAGGATGATCTTCCTCCGGCCGCAGGGCGGGTAGATGGCCAGGGCCTCTTGGAAGCTCTGCTCAATGTCGGGGCTCCACACACCCTCCGCATCATTCTCCAAGGGCTTGTCTAGCTGGTCGCCCAGCTCCTCGCTCCCAGCCCTGGGGGAGGGAGCCGGCACCCACTCCGTCGACGTGGTGGGAAGAGGGGAAGGGGACCACGGAGCGAGGGGTGGATGCTCGGGGCTTGAGAGGTGTTTTCGGGTTCAGGCGAGGGTGGAAAAGAGAGATGGGTTGACTCGATGGTGCGCTCCTGCTTGTATGGAATCCACCAGTGTGTTGTTGTTGGCAGGCGAACCCTACAAAAGACGAGGAAGATTCTTTTAAAATTATTATTATTATTTTTTTTTTTTAATGAGAGCGAAAAAACATTCATTGACTCACTCAATAAATTCAAATACAAAAAAAGTAGAAGCCAAAATTCAGAATTGAAGCTTCACCAGGATCATGTTTCCACACAGACTAATGTAACTGCAGATAAACATACAAGTGAGTAATAGGTAAATAATAGATCAAGTTTGGGATCATCCATTCCACAGTCACCAACAAATGGTCATGAAAACATATTTAGCCAATGTAATACAACCTACCACTGCTAGCTAGAGCAGACTGTACCTTATCGTAATCCCCCTCAACTGTGGTCAAGGTTACACACAGTCGCTGGTGCACTTTCAATAATTTTATTGAACCAACTGTAACAAATTAAACACGCCATACACACTCAAACGTACTAGCCGCAAGTGATGGCCAGAGTGGCAAATGGTTAGCCAATTAACAGCCAGCCCAGCCAGATGCTAACTTGCGCTCACAACAGCCAACTTGACTTTCATTCAGCGGCACCCACATCACTCACCGGGTCAGGCCTTTTAAAGCCGTACGCACTCAAAGTCAGAGAGACAGCAGTGTGCAATGTGAGGAAGGCGAAACTAATTCAGAAGTAATATTTGCAACTCGTATGCACATTTTGTTGTTTAATTAGAAAAAAAATCTTTTTTTTAAACCAATGACACGATTAGTGGACGCGTAACTCGTACAATGATCAGTTCTAAAAATTATTTGATAGCTGCAGCCCTGGTATGAATGTTTTTTTATTTTTTTATTTTATTTTATTTTTAACCAACCAATTGGAAACCGGAGTAGTTCGTGAAAACACAAACTCCAAACGGGAAGGCCGGAGCTCAGATTCAAACCCAACTGTGAGGAAGATGTGCGAACCACTTGCGCATTGTGACACCCTTAAATTGTATACATTTTTTTCTCTCTCTCTCTCTCTCTTTTTACTCATCAAGAAAATTGCTCAGAAAATTCTTCTTTCCATCATGCTTTTTTTTTTGCACAGCCACCTGTTCCTAGGCAGAGTTCATGGCATCATCATCATCATTATCATAACTGACCTATAGACCAATGAAAATCAAAATTGGCACACTGGCCCATGACTTCGAATGTCAAATTATGGGGGTGGAAAAGGCTTCTGGCAGAAAAAAATGATCAGACATCTACTCATACCCATCGACCGAATGACATTTCTGCATGAACTATCAAAACACGTCAGGTGCTTCGATATCGCCATCCAAATCACTCCTCGCCCTCAGCTGTCCATCGCAACGTGTAAAAAGTGCGTCAGATTCGGCTCATGCAAGCGAAAAAAACAAATACAGCAGCGCCCGGAGTGAAGCTGGTCTGGAAGGCGGAAGGAGGGGTTGCTGCAGGGGCCCAAAGTCAATACACATTAAAGGAGCCACATTAAAGAGGGATCACCGTCCAGACATGCACGCACGCACACACACACACACACACACACACACACACACACACACACACACACACACACACACACACACACGGCAACCAGAGGGTGTTTTTTTTTTTTTTGTCCATTTTGTCATCTTCATTAGAGATGTCTGCATTAATTGCCGAGGAGGAATTTCTGTCAGCGCAGAAGGTCGTAGCCAATTAATAAGCCTGACGTTCCATTGTAATCAGCGCGATATGAACGCGGGCAAGGGGAGGAAGCCGGAGATTGTCCGGCGAGCGGATAGGGGCACGCTGTTTGCTTTCGACACCATGTTGTTTGGGATGTGCGTATAAATTGGAAACGGGCCAAGAAGGGAAGCTCCTTCCTGAGAAGGAGCTCATGAGTCAGTACAACCGGAGCTTTGTCCGTCGCGTACGGACTCCGCAGCCTGGCCATTTAGGGCAAGAAAAGGACAAGGAGGGCGGGTGGTGATGTCACTCATAAGCCCAAACATGAGTGTGAGTTACGCGTGGAGGAAGGACGGCGGCTTCAAAGTAGATTATGCTGCCGAGTGGGCGCAAGTGGTCAGGTATGGTGTCAAGTGCGAGGAAGTAGAGCACCATGACACTTCCTATGAGCTCCAGAACCTTCCGAAATTTTTTCCTGAGATGTACTTACATGTCTACACTACAGTAAATCTAAGTAATCCATCTGACATGATTTTATTGGGCCATAGCTAAAATGCTAGCGTAAAGGCTAAGTGAGCAGGATCAAAAAGGTGAATTGCATCGCACCTTGAGGTGTGCATCCCTTCACAAAAGACGCTTAGATATCATTCTCTCTACATGGGGTATAGTATGATTGAAGGAGGGGTGGGGAGGGCAATTTCAAAACAATTTGGTTCGCTTCAATGAAATTTCGATTTGATATGGTACGGCTGTACCATTTGTCTGGCTTATCAATATGAAATGATTTGTTAAAATGTACCAATTCAATTCAGTTCGTGAAATCTAACCAGCTTTTCAGATTTTTTTTTTACACCCCCTTAATAGCACCCAATGCATCGGGAAGAGAGATGCGCACCAGATACAAATCGGTCTGATGTTCCGCGTGATTTGATTTTTCCTTTCCATTGAATTAACGTGAATAATTTGGACTTTGGTGATCTTGTACATGGAACATAACTTTATCCATCCATTTTCTGATCCGCTTTATCCTCACAAGCGTCGCGGGTGGTGGTGGAGCCTATCCCAGCTGTCTCGGGTAGTAGGTGGGGGGACACCCTGAACCGGTTGTCAGTCAATCGCAGGGCACACACAGATGAACAACCATCGGTGCTCACACTCACACTTGGGGACAATTTCGAGTGTTCAATCAGCTAGCGATGCATGTTTTTGGAATGTGGGAGGAAACCGGAGTACCCGGAGAAAACCCACGCAGGGATACATGCAAACTCGCTCACTGGGCCGCCCGGAACATAACTTAATAAGCGTCATAAAAGCTACAGCTGTACCACGTCGAAATGAATCATAATCCCACCAAAATGGTTCCACTTCGAAAATGTACCGTTCCTGAACCGCGTATCGAGGTACGTATCAAATCGCCTTTTATTGGAGAGATGCTCACCCCTCTCGAACTGAATCTCTCAGTGCGGGAACTTTTGAAGGAAATGCATAAAACATGAAATCTGAACCGCGGGGGACTTTAAAATAACCCAGATGCTTCATCCAAATATGATCTGCTTTCCAAATATACATTTTCAAACTGGCTGCGCGGCTCGGTAACACAGTTTACTATCGGCCACCGAGACTTCATAACAAACTATCAGTGCACCGCTTGCCACTCACAAAGTCAAACTGTCCAGCGGGTTAATTAACCAAAAGCCCCTGCTTTCTCCACACACACACACACACACACACACACACACACACACACACACACACACACACACACACACACACACACACACACACACACACACACACACACACACACACACACACACACCAAGCATGGTCCTACGTTCAACCCCAACGAGGCCCCTCTTGCCTGGATCCGCTCAACGGGATAATCCCCCCCAGCTGGTGCTGAGGTAACACAACTGCTTACCCAGTCGAAACAAACAAAGTCATAGTGACAACAACAACAAAAAAATAATTAAAATATCCCACCTTAGATATAGATTATGAAAAGCTTCACTGGGAAAGATGCATGTGAGAAACGAAGGCCCCAGTCCATTTCACTACATGGGGAAAAAATATATATTTTCCTTTAAGTTATAAGAAACTTTTTTTGGGGTTGTTGGTCTACTTTTTTTTTTTTGGGGGGCGGGGGGGGGCTCCTCTGGTCGCAACCTGCCCTAATCATCTGGGGAATGTAAATGTACAGCAGCGGTATGGGATCTGGGTGCAACGATGGAAAGTCGGAGGTGCCCAAGTTTTGTTGGCCTTTTTTGCTGAGTGCACACAAATACGAAAAAAAAAATGTCCTTGAAATGAAACACGCATTTGTTGAAAAGACAACACAATGTCGTGATCTTTCTTATGGCTTTTGGCTCACTTTTCTCCATGTTGTTTGGTGCTTTTTCTTTTTTTTTTAAGTCCCGGGGTTCCAATGGGTGCTTCTGTCTTTTGTTTCGCTTTTTGTTCTCTTTTCTGCATTGTTGTTGGGGTTGTTGTCCTCGGAAATGTCATTCTCTCATTTTCGTCTGCCATTGTCCCCCTCTGGTCCCGAGCCTGTTTCACGACAAATCAAGGAATAAGACAATTTACCTCATATAACAAAAGGCAACAGGATGAGCACTCGAGACCAGCGATTCTCAGCTGGTGGGTCACGGACCAATTTTGGGTGGGTTGCGGACAGCTGGTAAAAAAAAAAAAAAAAACCTTGTATTCTTATTTGTATTTTTCCACTTCCGTCTAGAGACATACCAAGTTCCCACATGGGGTATATGAAGTAAGTAACAGCAGGGATTGGTAAGAACCGATACCGCTTATCAGTATCAGGCCGATACCGGCCTTATTTTAAGGTATCGAGTACTCGAGCAAGCTGCCGAGACGAGCCAACAACAGTACAAAATTAAACTAATTAATCAATTGATTAATTTTTAAAAATCGGACAGAGTATGTCCTCCTCGGCACCAGTTGACACTATAGTAGCAGTTTGAAACATCAACGAATCATCATCTGTATCAAAAAGAAAGGTCTTGGGTTTTTGTTTTTTGTTTGTTTGTTTTTTTGTGCATGCAAATATTTGTTTTGTTTTTTTCTACTTTCTCCTTTTCATAATTTTTGCTGCTGTAAATTGTGA